GTCCTGAATCACTCATTAGGTCCTGAATATATCTAATTCCACACTGATACCATTTGATGTATAGTTCAAAATCTTTATAAGGAACAAAACTCATGAAGGGAAGATTTCTGAATTCGTCAATATTCCTAATCTCTGAAATTTGCAACTTGTTATAAATAGTTAAAATATCTTTCCAAAAATGGTTCTTCATGTCTTTAATTAGCTTTTTTAATTGATGCTTTTGGAAATTCAGGATGTCGATATTTTCTAAGTTTACCATCGAAAATCGTGCCAAGTGCTGCCATAAGCCATCTTTTTGTCAGGCGTTTTATCCACTTCAGTTTCAAGTATTTACGAAAGGCTTCAGCATCAACCATGCCAAGACCTCCTTCTGAACGATCATTCATCAACATTCTTCTTTTAATTTTATCTCGTTTTCCGTTCCAAATAAACTTAAACAAGATTGAGTTTAGCGGTTTAAAGAAGGTTTTATCCGGCAATGGAAGGGCTGATAATAGATGTGTAAATAAAGGGATTATTTATGATTTGATAATCGTTATTTTGCCATTTAATGTTAGCAATATTTTTGACCAGGAAAAGCAGATCTGTCTTGCTTTATTAATTTGTTTATCAAAATTCAAGGAAACAATTTGTTTGAAGTCTGTCGAAAAATTTATCTCTAGAATATTAAAAGGTCCTTTTGACCATTGCAAAGGCAAATGGGAACAAAGCTTTTCATTTAAATTTCCTGAATCTTGTCAATCACATTCGAGCCAAAAAGGGATAGAAAAGTCACTGATATAAGAAATTTCATAATGTTCATAAAAGAAAATGTTTCATTATTATTTCCATTTGCAATGACACCAGTCAAGCATTCCACGTTGTGGGACTCAATCCCATACCCAGTCCCGGACATCCATACATCAGTCTTCCTACATAGTCTAACATCCAGTATGGGAAGTAAGTTATCAGTTTAAGAATATATACAAAATATATTTAAAAATCTAGATGGAGCTCAGGACCATGTTAATTTCTGACCGAAAGTTGACGCAATCTGGACTTGAGCTGAATGACATTTTGATCTGTTCTATATGTCTCTCCTACTGCTCAGTATTACTTACTGATCAAGGCGAGATTAATGAACGGGGACCATGATGCAGATCTCCTCTCACTAATACATGTGCATATGGTCATGGAATCCCGCCCCACCACAGGTTTTAACTCAGTGAATCGGCCGAAACTACAAATATCTTCCTAACAGCATTGTTCAAAACTATTTATGTCGCTATTTTTCTACAACGCACCTTTTTGAACACTATTGGGTTGCTTTTCAGAAAAGAAATCAAGGACTTTTCAAAATCCTATTTTGAACAGATATACGCCGCGTTGAAAAACAATGACTGATCCACGGAAGTAGAATGTTTCGGTATTTAGTAAATTACAATTCAATAATCACAGGACCTATGTGAGTCGTACTGTGTATCACATCATCATGTGATCCAGTGCAGAGTGTAGGGGAATGTGTGATAGCCTGTAAGATCGATCCCTGCTTCCTCGTCCCGTGAAGGTATTCTCCGGGAGTAACTGTGTCTCCGTTTGATGGGTGGTAGGGAGAATTTATACCAACAAATATCTGCAGTGACGTCTAGTGAACCGAGAGCGTGTACTACCAGTCTTTACCGGGACTGTAGGTTAAACTGACACTGCCTTGATGGGGACACGGCATGATGTGCTTGATGCAGGTATCACAGGTGAGGTGCGTTATGTCAATGGGTATCTCGCAACAGTTGATGCCTCGAGAAACATGGTGTGACCACGTCACAATACACAGCTATCACCACACTGGCGTCTAAAGGTTTAGTTTTTGCTTTCTGTCCCGCCATGTTACACTGTCTCATACCTTTACACAAACACTTGAAATACTATCTGTATCGATACACTGTATCCAGATCACATATAGTAACCAGATGACAAACTGTACCCAGATCACACATACATATAGTAACCAGATCACATATTGTACCGAGATCACATATAGTAACCAGATCACACAGAACCCAGATCACACAGAACCCAGATCATACACTGTAACGAGATCACACACAGTAACTAGATCACACACAGTAGCCAGATCACACTGTACCCATATTACACACTGTACCCAGATCACACACTGTACCCAGATCACACACTGTACCCAAATCACACACTGAACCCCGACCACACACTGTATCCAGATCACATATAGTAACGAGATCACACACTGTAACCAGATCACACTGTAACCAGATCACACACTGTAACCAGATAACACTGTTCCCAGATCACACTGTACCCAGATCACACACTGTGCCTAGATAACACTTTAACCAGATCACACACTGTAACCAGATCACACACTGTGCCCAGATAACACTGTGCCCAGATCACACACTGTGCCCAGATCACACTGTACCCAGATCACACACTGTGCCTAGATAACACTTTAACCAGATCACACACTGTAACCAGATCACACACTGTGCCCAGATCACACTATAACCAGATCACACAATGAGACCATATCACACTGTACCCAGATCACACACTGTGCCCAGATCACGCACTGTAACCACATCACACACTGTGACCAGATTACACACTGTAACCAGATCACACACTGTGCCCAGATCACACACTGTGCCCAGATCACACTGTAACCAGATCACACACTGTAACCAGATCACACACTGTGCCCAGATCACACTATAACAAGATCACACAGGGTAACCAGATCACACACTGTACCCAGATCACACATAGTAACCAGATCACACACTGTATCCAGATCACACATAGTAACCAGATCACACACTGTACCCAGATCACACACTGTACCCAGATCACACATTGTACCCAGATCACACATTGTACCCAGATCACACACTGTACCCAGATCACACACTGTACCCAGATCACACATTGTACCCAGATCACACACTGTACCCAGATCACACTGTATCCAGATCACACACTTTACCCAGATCACATATAGTCACCAGATCACACTGTATCCAGACCACACACAGTGGCCAGATTACACAAATTAACCAGAGCACACTGTACCCAGATCACACAGTAACCAGATCCAACACGGTACCCAGATCACACTGTACCCAGATCACACACTGTACCCAGATCACACATAGTGTAGCCAGATCACACTATATCCAGATCACATATAGTAACCAGATCACACTAGCTGTATCCAGATCACATATAGTAACCAGATCACACTGTACCCAGATCACACACTGTACCCAGATCACACTGTACCCAGATCATACACTATAACAAGATCACACAGGGTAACCAGATCACACACTGTACCCAGATCACACATAGTAACCAGATCACACACTGTATCCAGATCACACATAGTAACCAGATCACACACTGTATCCAGATCACATATAGTAACCAGATCACACATTGTACCCAGATCACAAATTGTACCCAGATCACACACTGTACCCAGATCACACTGTATCCAGATCACACACTTTACCCAGATCACATATAGTCACCAGATCACACTGTATCCAGACCACACACAGTGGCCAGATTACACAAATTAACCAGAGCACACTGTACCCAGATCACACAGTAACCAGATCCAACACGGTACCCAGATCACACTGTACCCAGATCACACACTGTACCCAGATCACACACTTTATTCAGATAACATATAGTAACCAGATCACACTGTACCCAGATCATACACTGTACCAGATCACACTGTAACCAGATCACACATAGTGTAGCCAGATCACACTGTACCCAGATCACACTATATCCAGATCACATATAGTAACCAGATCACACTAGCTGTATCCAGATCACATATAGTAACCAGATCACACTGTACCCAGATCACACTGTACCCAGATCACACACTGTAACCAGATCACACACTGTAACCAGATCACACACTGTATCCAGATCACATATAGTAACCAGATCACACATAGTAACCAAATCACACTGTAACCAGATCACACACTGTATCCAGATCACATATAGTAACCAGATCACACATAGTAACCAAATCACACTGTAACCAGATCACACACTGTAACCAGATGACATACAGTAATTGAACGAGGCTGCTGAGACAAGAAATAGTTACATAATATCAAATTTAGCAATGCACTGAAAATAGACATGATTACACATACGACCCCTTCACTGACATGAGCGAAATAGTGAAAACATCTGTTGGAAACAATTCTGTTAAATTATCTGACGTTTAACGTAACTTTACCACTTTCAAAAATGCACAAGTCACGATATATTACAAATTCAAATTCCAAACCACCTTTTCATTTTCTTGTCTAAGCAAATGTACTTCATATTACTATGTACTATGCATATACGTGTAAATTATTTTCCTGACTCTTATCATCATTAATTTCGTACTAAACATTTATAGAGTCACCTTAAGATAAAATGATAATATACTTGCTTATACGTCTGGCTGGAATACAAGGCATAAATTGTTGAGTACGCGTGATATAGTTGGAGTGTCAACATTCCCATGTTATTAGAACCATCATGGATCTTGACAGTTTCTAAACTCTTGGGAATGTTCGGTTGAATGTCCTTCTTCCAGCGATACGGGTAAGGAATAGTGTGACTGTCATGTGAAGCGTTGTGATCAGCCTATCATCGATGCGTGGTTCGTGGGTCACGTGACATGCACCGAATAACACGAAGCTTGTTTATCGCGCTTCAGTCCTATTTGTTTACATCGTCCTATTCCACTCGATATAACGGACATACATTTTTCGAGAATCGTCCTAGTATACAGTTTATTCGTGACTGTGGCGGCCTTGTGTGATTTCGAAAGCGCTGTGAAACAGGCGAGCGTGTCGCGAAATCTTGGGGAATCCCCTCAGTTACACAAGGCAGGTCAACTCTGATTGGCTGAAAGCTACGCCTTGAGTAAAGTGGCGCACGAGATGGTTGATATCGGTTATAGTCATTGACTAGCTTATTCATAAATGCGTCGTTGTAATGTACGATTAGCAATATAACAGCAGGAAGACGCCCACTGAGATTACTGGAGCCAACACGTGAAACTAGCTCAATCTATTTTAATACAGTCTATGCGCGCTTCACAACAAAAAATGTGGATTCCGAAAGTTCCGTTCAAAAGCGTTTGTTCCTAGAAATCAGCTGATGTGTGGTTTCTCATTAATTGGTTGGTATTTAAGTACCGGGCTCCAAAACCCGTCATCATTTGTCTACAGGTCTTCTGCCGAACGAGAGGTCGATGTAAGAAGTACATGCTTTCCCCAGATAGGGTATTGTCTGAAAAGAAAAACACAAAATGGCGTGCGATGATTACGAGTACATTTGTACTGAAGACATGCCTACTCAGCACTACTATGAATCTCTGCATAATTCATGTGAGGATATTACGGACAAATTTCAAAATATTTCCATTGACGACAACAAGAAGCCAGTTATGTGTGGAGTGTGTCTGAACGTCAACATTTCTGATTGCTGCTTGCATGCTAATTTGAGTATGGACTGTGAGGACATCATTTCTCCAACACAGAGTGAATGCGTGGACCTGTTGTCACAAGACAAGGACGGAGATACCAACCTCCACATTGCAATAATACAGAGAGAGATTTGCATCGTGAGGAACATGATTGGACTAGCTCCTCACAGCGACTGGTTAAATACTTCTAATGGACTGTTGCAAACTCCTCTTCACCTCGCTGTAATTACACGTCAAATAGACGTTGTGCGACGTCTGATTACGTCAGGAGCTTCTCCTGACGTCAGAGATCTCCATGGTAACACCCCTCTTCACATTGCATGCAGGGAAGGGTACGGCGATATTGTGGAATATCTTTTAACGCCCAGAAACTTTGAAGAAGTTACTGATTTGAAGTTACCACATATTCCTCGCGACTTATCACTAAGAAACTACGAGGGTCATTCGTGTGTACATCTCGCTGCCATGGAAACCAATTTGAGAGTGATGGATTTGTTACTTTCCGCCGGTGCAGACATTAACATTGGTGACGGAAAGAGTAGAAGAACGGTCCTTCATCGGGCTATAGAGACTGGCAACAGAATACTGCTACATTTCTTGTTAATGTTTGAGAAACTGGACGTCAACTGTACGACGTACGCAGGGCTGACGCCATTAGCTTTAGCGGCCGGTCGGGGCTACAATGACATCGTCGCCATCTTGATTTCTAATGGTGCAGACACCGAATACATAGAAAAAGACAGTGAATGTTATTGAACATTTCTGAGTGGGTGAGTGAGTGTTTGTTTGTTAGTTGGTTCAATGTTGCATATTACGTCACTGAAAATCAGATGACGTCATTATTTGCTGAGGACCAAATCCGATCGGCACTTGCCTCCATGCGAATGCAAGGCAGCATCCTATTATATAGATGTGTAGTGTAACAGTTGTTTGCTTTATGCAGCGATTAGTTAGTATTAGTGCTACATTTGGATATATATCTTGTTTTTCGTTCTCGCAAACGTAAGTTTCCAAGGGCAGGGAAACAAACGTTGTTTTGTGGGTTCTCGCAGTTATATGCTCATCGACTTTGTTATTGTTATGTGTTTTATTACTCGTACGTGGAAGACACTGCAGTGTAATATTTTTACGGCAATATTACACTAGTGTCATACCGCTAGACGTATGACGTCATAATGGTTTACAGTTATGACGTCACAATGCTAATGCCGCTGTCGCAATGGTACTAGACCTCGCTTGACTCACGGAAAGCTGAGAGTCATCACACTGTAGGCAATTTCGCCGCAGTTTTTATCAATTTATGTTGGAGAGTAATAAACAGAATACTAAACTCGCTTCCGTGAAATACCATTTTTATTAAACTCGTGAAAGATTTTGTATCAAAATCGCTTTCGCTCGTTTGATACAAAATCATTCACTCGTTTAATAAAAATAAATTGATATTACACGGAAGGTCGTTTAGTATCCTCTATGTACAAAACAGGAAGAAACCATGTTCTCCATAACTTATTATGTTATGTGTGGTAAAGGACTACATTCCACTGGGGAATCCTGGATTGTATGAGCACCTTTTCCCTTTATATTCTCTATATCAGGAAAGTAAAATCATTTATTGATTTCAGTAAGAAACCGATGTGTTTTAGATATCAATAAATCGAATTTTTAATATCACAAACTAAATTAGCGATACGACAAAATTTGGTGTTTTAATAAACTGAGGGGCTAAATAAAGTATACCTATTTATGTAACGGAAACTATTCAAGAACTTTTGTTAAGATGGATTACGTTTATTTCCTCATTCTTTTGAAAGTTTGTAAAAGGCAGTCGGTCAGGGTAACCTGTGGCAGGATTGGAAGTTGGAACATACATTTAACATGTTTGAAATGTAAATTTTATCTAGAAAAAGCATATTTTTGTTTGTTTTGAAAGATACGATGTCTAAGACACCCATTATCATTTATGCCGTATTTTGCAACAGCAAGTATAATTTTTCCAAATTTTTAATCATATTTAAGAAATACAACCATATAGAACAGTTCATTTTCTATATAATATAGTCACTTAATACATTTTCAGTTATGTATCAATATGATATGATATAATCTGCTGAGAGGTATAAAATCTTTCGCCCCTCAGTATACGTTCTGTGACACCTGAAACGGAGTGTGGGCAAAACGTTTTGTCACGAGTGTGATTTCAAATGACAGCACTTATGTTTTGTCACATTTGTGATTCATATCAAGACGTATACTTTGTGTGGGTTGTTTGTGTAGTGTTCGTGGAATGGTTTGATACCCCACTAAAGTCAATATATCATATCTCGATATACGACATGAATGTATATCCGTATGTCATGTTTCTGACAAGCAACAGGTACTGCTGTCGTAATGTGCTATAGGAACTTGATGAACCCGTCCCTCAGCGAACATCTACCTCCATTCTTGTTACATTTACAGTCAATATACAAAGTTATGTTTTGTTGTTCAGTGTGATTAAAGTCTATTTTCTATAGCTGTTTTTCATATTTATTAATTATTACAAGAAATACCACCAGAAGAGAGACGTGTTAATAGTATGTCAAATCAACGCTAAAACACCGCATGGCGTTATAGGGCGAATGAGTGAGTGAGTGAGATCAGCTCCGAAATGAGGGGGTCTGACAAATGCCATATTTTCCAGAGTTTAACCTTCTTTGTTGCCACTATTGACTGAATTTTGGTTGTGATAAAGACATACATCAGTGACTAGTTTTGACTTATACAATGGACAAGATAATCGATTATCAAAACGAATCCTGAATACTCAGCTAATGGCAGACACCGGATTGTTCTTGAGTGTGCATGTGTATAGATGTTCAGGCACACTCAAAAACTATTTCACTCCAGATATAAGCTTGAAAATAAAATGGAGCCCATGTGAGGTCCAGTCATTATTCCATCATTGAAAAAGTACACACATCACATTTGTGAACCCTGGGAAACCTGGATGTGCGTTGCGGAAAGACCCGTGAACGTCCGGGTTAGAATGAACCTTCATTAATCCATGTTTGTCGTAAGAGGCGACTAACGGGAGCTGGTTATCTCGGACCTTCCGGGCTGGATAGGAGTAGAGCACACAGACCATTCAAACCTTTTGGACCTCTCGGGGTAAATAAATGGACCTTATCTCTTGGACTATTAAGACAATGGTCTCAGGCTCGCAGCACTCTGAGACAACAAACATGAACAGTGAAAATGTGTATAAAACGTATTATGTCTCTGATTAACTATAAGCAATATAGTATGGGTGTACAGTAACATATGACTACAACGGTGTGTACGAATGTACCACACATCCAGGTTTAAGTATTTACGTAGGTTTGAATGTATACCACGTGGGAAAATGATTGAATACGTAATGGGTGTACCTAAGAAACTTGTTTGGGTTTTCATTCTGATATCTATCCGGTCTGTATGGACTAGCAGTAGTTCTTTATACACGGGCCGTTATGGCCAACTCGGCAAGTCCGGTTTGACTGGTATACGCCGAGCCTGGCGTGGTGGGGGATGGACTAGCCTGTTCTGCAGACCCCCGAAAGAAATATACCCAATGCAGCCCATGCAAGTCTTTAATGTGTGGCAAGTCTAGAACTTCACAGTTTCAGTCTCAGAAAATTAAGACAGTTTGTGGCCTCCTTTTTGTTTTATTTTATTAACATAATTTAGAAACCGTTTTTTTCTGTAAAATATTATCATTTCGGAGACTAGATGCTAGTCTAGGGGTTGGCGTGACGGTGGGTGGGCTTGTTGAGTATATATCCTTGTCGCAATGGTTGGGCTATTTTCTGTGGTTAGTTACGAACAATGTGATTTGAGCATTGCACAAGTCATATCTGTTACACAACTTTAAATTAAATCTTGCAATGATTTATCTTTATATTTGAATGGGGAAATATTTAAAACAAAAATAAAATTCTTTGTGTACTCAAGTACAGTATATGACGGGGTAATAGGGTGTCAATTGTCAAGCTGTAATTTATCGCTTGCATAGTTTGTCTGTGGCAAAAATCAACATTCACTCAAGAAATGGTTTTGTCCTCTCGGTTATTTTATCATCTATAAAATTTGTAGTTATCTACCTCTCGGTTATTGTCTGAAACAGTAACAGCTAAAAATACCTTGGTTAATGATTAACTGCCCAACAGCACAGGCCTTGGTCGTACCACTAATATCTGATAACTCTTATCCGGTCCTTAGAGACACCCAGTGAGCCCCTTGATAATACGGCCGACTACGAACATTGTATCAACGTTCGCAATGGCAAGGATACCTTCACAAACGTTCACCAGAGGCAATAGATTTAAAAGGTCTTAACGAGACCTTTCCTGACGACGGCATGTTAGTTTACTGCAGGTATATGTTGACATATAAATTAGACTATTTCTGTGGATTGAAAAGACCCATCAGTCTGTGAGTGAGGATGCACGTACACCGTTATTAAAGTCCGGCCATCACGCATGTAAGCTTCACATATTGTACCCATGTACGGAATCGAACCGGGATCGACAGCGCAACTCGTGAACGCTTTACCCATAACGTTTATCTCGTGAACACACACACACACACACACACACACACACACACACACACACACACACACACACACACACACACACACACACACACACACACACACACCAGGTAAGAAGTCATACACTATTATACAAGAAAGGCGTTGGTTCGGCGAAATACTACAAGAAAGTCGTTGGTTCGGCGAAATAGTAGATAGCGTTGTGACCGTTCCTCGGAAACGTCGTTTCCCCAGGAATCAACACGGGTGAAAGAGAAAGTGTCTGCGTTTCCTGGAGCTGGTTATCTCGGAACCTCCGGACTGGATACCTCATGGGGCGTGGTTTCACTCACTCAGTGTGATGGTTGTGGGCTGAGTATGGTTTGTCCCACCAATGTGATGTCCAAAATCCCTAACTAATGACACGAAGAGCGATACTCACAATGACAGAAACGATGGTTTCAGAGCTTTATACCAAAAATTGATTCGTAAGAAGAAATCAAGCGTTTGAACTAAGTATCGAATCAGTGCATCGGTGTATTTGATTTTGTATTAATATTCAGTATATAAAAGCTCTGGAACTAGTCATCTCACAATACATATCTTTATTTAATTTTGTTTTTAGAACCCATATGTTAAAATACATGACGAAATCGACTGGTGTCATCCACACTTGTATCTGGAATCATCTCACTGCGTCATTTAATATGGTGCTTTGTTGGGTTACATTTTTCCCCTAAAAATACGCTTATTTACAATATAATACCTTTGGAATCGTACTTCTTCATACCGAATGTCGCATAGAGAGTCGGTACTGTTTGAGCATTTGAATGTATGTGCGTGCGTGCGCGCGCGCGTGTGTGTGTGTGTATTGGGGGGCGGCTGGAATGGAGTGCAGCAATTATATACTGCCCAGCCATGTACAGCAAATATCCAGTTCCAAAGGCACTTTGATTACGGATCTGCTGACACAGTAAGTTGTAAACATTATTGAAACCTACAATCTTGAGAACTGCCCAGTTTCTTCTGCAGTTTTCAGCCAATGGAAAAATAAGGGAAGAGAATATGGGGAGAGAGTTTCTTTGAGTTCTTTTCCCCCTAATTAGACATTGGAAAAAGGAGTGACAAGTCATTCTGGATGATCAACTTCTTCATTGTACAGTAGCTCACCGTTTTTTGTAAACGTTATAGGTGAGGTGAAATTGGGTTTTACGTCGTGCTTGAGAATATTTCGCTCATATGACGACGTGCATGCGTGTGTATGTGTATGTGCGGCTGCTTGTACTAGCCCAGACTGAAGCTGTTTTTATAGTGCTAGCCCACTGAGATACCATGACGCAGTGAAGCATGAATACCCCACTCAGACACATTATACTGACTCCGAGCCGACCAGTCCTTGTTGTACCCATTAATGCCGAGCGCCAGGCAGGGACCAACAAGTACCATATTTTAACGTCTTTTGGTATGACGCGGTCGGGGATCGAACCCGCGACCTTCCGCTCTCCGGGTAAACGTTATAGGTATCGCTATTGTACAATAAAGAAGTTGATCATCCATAAAGACTTGTAATTCCTATTGCTCACAACTTCCACAGTTCATATCAATAAAAACAAACAACATGTTTTCAAAATTATATGTTTATTTTAATTCCAACCACCGAATTTCATTCTTTATAAAAAATATCTGGAAACCAAATAGGTTAGCCTGAGATCAATACGTTCACCAACACATCCATGTTGACAAAATATAAGTGTGACAAAGAATGTGGGTTTTAAGTTACTTCAGTGAAATAGCGGTAATTAAAATACCTATGATAATCTGGAATGCATCTAATCTTCAGCCACCTGCAGCTTGTCACAACAGACAACAAACACCATCTGGTGGTCAGGCTTGGTGGATCGGGTTTTCAGGCTTGGTGGACCGGGTGGTCAGGCTTGGTGGATCTGGTGGTCAGGCTTGGTGGATCAGGTGGTCAGGCTTGGTGGTTCGGGTGGTCAGACTTGGTGGATCAGGTGGTCAGGTTTGGTGGATCTGGTGGTCAGGCTTGGTGGATCTGGTGGTCAGGCTTGGTGGATCGGTTGGTCAGGCTTGGTGGATCTGGTGGTCAGGCTTGGTGGATCGGGTGGTCAGGCTTGGTATTCAGGCTTGGTGGTTCGGACGGTCAGGCTTGGTGGATCTGGTGGTCAGGCTTGGTGGATCGGTTGGTCAGGCTTGGTGGATCTGGTGGTCAGGCTTGGTGGATGGGGTGGTCAGGCTTGGTGGATCTGGTGGTCAGGCTTGGTGGATCGGGTGGTCAGGCTTGGTATTCAGGCTTGGTGGTTCGGACGGTCAGGCTTGGTGGATCGGGTGGTCAGGCTTGGTGGATCGGTTGGTCAGGCTTGGTGGTTCGGGTGGTCAGGCTTGGTGGACCAGGTGGTCAGGCTTGGTGGATCGGGTGGTCAGGCTTGGTGGATCGGGTGGTCAGGCTTGGTATTCAGGCTTGGTGGTTCGGACGGTCAGGCTTGGTGGATCTGGTGGTCAGGTTTGGTGGATCTGGTGGTCAGGCTTGGTGGTTCCGGTGGTCAGGCTTGGTGGATCAGGTGGTCAGGCTTGGTGGATCGGGTGGTCAGGCTTGGTGGACCCCGTGGTCAGGCTTGGTGGATCGGGTGGTCAGGCTTGGTGGATCGGGTGGTCAGGCTTGGTGGATCGGGTGGTCAGGCTTGGTGGTTCGGGTCGGGTGGTCAGGCTTGGTTGATCTGGTGGTCAGGCTTGGTGGTTCGGGTGGTCAGGCTTGGTGGATCTGGTGGTCAGGCTTGGTGGATGGGGTGGTCAGGCTTGGTGGATCAGGTGGTCAGGCTTTGTGGTTCGGGTGGTCAGGCTTGGTGAACCGGGTGGTCAGGCTTGGTGGTTCGGGTGGTCAGGCTTGGTGGATCGGGTTGTGCATGTCATAATATCTCAGTTACATAGATTTGAAGCCCATGATGTCAGTCACTGAATTGTCTGGTCCAGACTTAATTATTTAAAGATAAAAGCCTTATACAAGTGTTGTACCGCACAGCTTGTGAAGAAACCTGGAAACAAATAAAGGAACACTTGTGCTTTCATGTGATCCCTTATTTTTTTCCCTCAGTATATCATTTTTAGTGTGACATTAAACAATAAACAATCAAACAATTAGCTAATCATAATTTCAGATCATGACATTTAAATATCAGGTTTATCAGAACTAATGTGACCATTATCAGAATCCAGACAAAACAATGAGGAATTCATTAGAACTCTTTGATCAAACAATGTGGATGTTTCAGATATATTGTCAGGTCTATTCCTTAATGCTGCAAGCAATAATATTTAGATATATGGCATCCATCTGTAAACAATCCAGTCTTGATCAGACATTCCAATAATTGTAATGATCCACACAATGGTGTAAGAGTGAGTGAGTGAGTGAGAGGGTGAATGAGTGGATAATCCAGAAGGGCGTACCAGGAGGTGCCTTTGGACTTAATACTTGATGATTCATGTGCACCATCCCTCCCTCCCCACCTCTCCAAAATCCTGGACCTGCCCCTGATGAGTGAGACGATGAATGAGTGAGTTAGAGGATGAGTGAATGAGTGAGTGAATGAGTGAGAAGATGAGTGGGTGAGTGAGTTTAGTTTTACGCCGCACTCAGCAATATACCAGCTATATGGCGGCGGTCTGTAAATAATCGAGTCTGGACCAGACAATCCAGTGATCAACAGCATGATCATCGATCTGCGCAACTGGGAACCGATGACATGTGTCATCCAAGTCAGCGAGCATGATCACCCAATCCCGTTAGTCACCTCTTACGACAAGCAAGGGTTACTGAAGATCAATATTCTAACCCGGATCTTCACGGGTTGAGAGTATGAGTGACTGAGTGAGAGGAAGAGTGAGTGAGTGAGAGGATGAGTGAGTCAAGTACCACTTTGAACAGTATTCCCGTTATATCACAGTGTGTCAGCTTAATGTGGCAAGAAACCACAAAGTGATGCAGGTATCTGATGTTTAACACATCAGTGAAAACCATGAGCATAGATATGTCAATAACAAACCAAGAAAAATTTAGTAACAGGGAGGGTTTACAAACCCTAGGCAAATTAGTAGCGGAATGAGGTTACTACGTTCCTGTATTACTCCCGCCTATTACAATAAATTGATCAGAAACATGGTTCTGACAAACAAGTAAGAAATTGAAATTTCATAAACAACATTTCAATGAAATTTTAAATGAAAAACATGACATAAAATGGCAGATACAACTGTGTCTTGAACAAGTCTGTTTGGACATTTTTTCTTTTAACAGTTATCAAGAGCAGTCCCAATTAGAAACCAGTAATTCAATAACATGGTTTGGTCCCCACAAGCCAATACCTGACAGAATGAACAGTTACCTGCAGCACAGGTGCCACACAATGAGCCATGTACAGGTCTCTCTGTACTCATCAGGCAGCCACACGACACGAACATATCCACACCGCTACAGATAACGTATTAGGTCATTGGGTTATGTACTCGATGTGTTCATCTCAATTGGGTATCCTAATTTGCCTTTGAGTAACCAAACAAATTGTACCCACCTCACTCAAACTCAATTGGGTATTTTGACATTTTCCATTAATTGTAAAAATATAATAAAGTTTAAATGTTGGTTTACATGTTTGTTATTTGTATTTGATCTGTAATATGAGAAACAATAAGAAAGACAGCAAGTTGCCAAGTTCATGTGTGGAAATAGAATCTCTCAATATACCTCAGTTATTTGATCTGTCCTGGTAATCTCTAGCACATTTTTGAGTGTACGCGTGTAAGATAAAATTTATTGAGTATTTTCAAAAGTTCAAGAGTACTTGTATGAAATAGACTTAATAGGAATTGAGTTTTCACATAAATATTTGCGTAATTTTCACAGATACGCTGCTTATCTGTACCTCTGATTCGGGACCTATAATCAAAACAGAGGACAAAGAAGAGTTAGAAGGCACTTGAAGAGATGTGATCCATGATCTGACCAATGAAAGGTCAAATAAATATGTATTTCCTGTTTCAATCCATCAAATAAATAGGATAGGTTGGTCAGACTTTTGTTCTTGGTTTTACTTTTTTGTTTTGTTCTTTGCAAAACAGTAATTTGGAGTATGTCTGTACAAGCCTCATTTTCAAATAAAGTCACTAACTAGCTTAACTAAATTGAGCTCCACAAATTTATGGAATAAACAGAGACAATATAGCACTAGTTGTAGAAGCCATGGTGTTTCTTGAGATTTGGTCTGCACATTTGGGTCAGTCATGAGAAACACACACATGATTCGGTGGGCGATGTATGGTGTGGGGGCTTACATATGAGAACATCACACAAGAACATGGAAGACCACGGTTAAGTTTTCTTCTTCTCCTGTTCTGCCTGTGACTGCCGACCTCCTCTGTGTATCAGAAGCAGGCCCAGGAGAATACAGCAGGATCCTAGCCACCATAGTACTGGAAGCCGTTCTTGGAACATCAGACGACTCAGAACTGCCTGTTGAAATATATGACACAATAAATGTACAGATGTTACATTCTGACAATGTGCAGGAATTTCCACAATATAACTGAATGTGTGTCACTTACATGTACAGTGAGCACACGTTACAAATATGGACACATCACATTACCAGCTTCCACTACCAACAAATGTCTTTTGGATACTACTTATAACTTATTTGAAAAATGTATTCTCTATGTGTCATTGATGTGGCAGTCCTTCTTGGAAATAGACCTGGATATCTAACAGTATGCGAGTGTATTTCAGACTATCAACTGTTCCATAACAGTTCATGTTTTATTAACAAATTAATTAAATAATACTTATGTTTTGATCGTATTGACAGAGTTAATTTATCACAACAATGACCAATAACTCCATTACTGTCAAATTAAATACATAAGACTGTTGGCTGTTATCCTGCCTGGCTTGGATATACATGGATTCCACTTTGCATATCTCATTTCATAAAAAGCACCCAAATTCAAGTAAAAACATATCTTTTAAAAAATTGAATTTACAATTCTATTGAAAGCGAATAACAAATTGAGTGCATGAATCGATATGGTTTGATTCACTGAATATGCATTTGAATAGTAACAGCCCTAGTAATGGCAAATATCTATTTCAAACAGCATTTCATTATCACTAATATCAGTCATTATTTCTTTAGGTTCTAACATATTTGGAACAAAAAACATTCTTGGCCGACTTACTGTCACTAGAAAGTTTCCTGCTGTGTTAGTGACTGTTGCATCCACAGATGACGAACAGAGTTGCAGAGATTTGGTAAACAGTGTCCACATCAGACCATTGCAGAGGAAGATGCCCACTACACCACACAGTCTCACTGCCAGGACAGTCTGAAAACCAATACCATAGAACAAACTTCTCAAGTCATCATATACATATTTGACAGGTGTATATAACATGAAATCTGTTCATTAATCAGTACTGTTTGGAGTATAAAACATTCTGAACACAAAAAAGAAATTCTGTGTCAATACTACCCCAAATTCCTATTACCTCATGCTTGTCACAAAAACCAAAGACCTACTGTTGGGAATTGTTTAAAATCTCACAATTGATGATTGGTTCATTACAACCGATCAATCATCGAAAATAATTGGTTAGCGTCATTTATCAAATTCTCCTGGTTATGTTTGTTAATCCACAGAAAATATGAAAATATAGAATAAACGTGTAGTTCTTTCAGGTAATTTGCAAATTGCACAACATGCATTTACAAATTTCACATCTTAAAGGATGACTAGTATGTTAGGAACATAAATTTCCTGGAGTCTTTGATAACTTGAATCATAACAAGGAATGAGCTAGTAGTGCTTTTGGAATGTAACAGACAAAACCAACCTTGTGAAAAATCTTGTTAATGCAAACCGGTGTTCCGAAAATTGTTTGAGTTCGATTATGAGAAAGCATGATCGATTGCTTGGTCGTTTAGTCATTGCGACCAATCTTCGATTATATAAAGTACTACCACTACTTAACGCTTACACATATCAGTATATTCTCTTTGTAAAAACTTATTAAACTTAGGATTCAGTATGCAGGAACAATGACTTCTAATTCTAAGTAGTCATAACCATTGTTCATACTTACAATCCCCGGTCCCATGGTTTGAGTGGTCAGGATTTACTGATTGGATAACTTGAAAATACATAATACTGACTTGTTGTTTGTTTCGATAAGTAAACCTGTGTGTAAACAGGTAATTTTGTTTGAAACAAATACTGTTTCATAAATGTGTTGGAAATCATAAAATCGTTTGTATGACCAAATTATTAGATCTAATAAAGAAAAAGATGAACCCATGCATGGACTGCTGCAACAAAAAGTTACAGGTACATGCAAAAAAGTTTTAAATGTAACCTTCTCATGTTTTCCTGTTTCTTCCTCCATCATCGGAAATTCTATTCCCAGGAAGTGACTGTAGGCTTCCCAAATATTTTCACTGATATTATTTGCTTCGTCATAACTTGTTGCTAACTTGGCACAGACTGAAGCTAGAGCAGCCATTGACCCCGCAAACAGAGCTAACAATAATCCCTGAGAGGTCATTTTAGATAGAACTGTACCACTAACAATAGACAAGATACAAGCAATGATGATTGGCTTATTTCGAGCAGACGAATTTTACATGTTACATGGGTGCAGCCATTTTGTAGTTACGCAGATCAATATCATGATTTATATTATCATAAAATACGAAAACGTTGTTGTTCTTTCTCGGTTCGGTTGATAAAACGTATAATATTATTTATTATTCGAGTTAAAACTCATACAATTAATGTTATTCTGATAATCTGGATAAAATGAAAAGTCATTGTAGGACCGCATTCGCTCATCAAAAATGGCGGAAATCATGGTCAGCGTGCAAGCTTACTGCAAGCTTCTTTTGCACGCAGCTAAATACCCACACTGCGCTGTGAATGGAGTCCTTTTGGCTGAAGATTCGAAGGGGAAAGACCATCGTGGCATTCGTTTTGTTGATTGTATACCGTTGTTTCATATATCACTGAGCCTAGCGCCTATGCTGGAAGCTGCTCTTTTGCAGGTGCGTGCTCTGCCCATTCTCATATGATGATTTATGTTCCAATAGGATTATATCCAGGAATAACAATATGCTCTGCTGGGTTGGTTTTATTTAAGTTAAGGATACATGTTACATTTCTTGTATCACTGATTTGATCTAACAGGATAACCTTAAACATTAACAGGGCGCCGGTGGTCAGAACTCTACATCACTTTTAGAGTTACGTCCCTTGGTTAGGCCAGGATCTGTAGATTTAGAGTTTGAATCCCATATTTAGACACACAGTGTCCCAGGGATTGTTTGCACAACTTTTGACTCTCTTCCTACAAGCTGACAAGTCACAACACTGACATGAATTTCAGGTTTATTTGCTCATACCTAACCGCTCTTATACATTATGTTGTGTGTGTTTGTGTTTGGTAAGAGTTCCTCCCGTTCGCCCATCCCAAATAATATTTATAAATATACTAAAATTATTAACAAAACTTAACACAACAATTACTAGAGAACTCAAAAAATGACTAAAAGTCCAAAATTTAAGTTAGGTTTAGGATTAGGTTTAGGGTTGGGGGAAAGGAAGGAACTCTTCCCCATTCACAATATTTTTCTCAAACCAAAACAATCGAGGTCCAGAACATCAAAACAGACATCCCAGGCGCGCTGTGCAGGATAACTGTTTTCGGTCATGTTTACATTGAAAGCAAAGACAAGAAAAGCACATATGGTTTTCTTAAGGATGAGCGACAAAATACTTATTGTCAGCTTGATTGGATCAGCAGCCAATGTTTGTAAAACGATATCCCTTCATGAATTCAATTTTGTTATCCATGACCACTGAAACCAAAGTATTTTCACCTGAATGTGAGTGTTATTTATTAAACTGAGATATGCAAAATATATTTTTTAATTAAGATATCCATGCCAGGATAATAGTCAACACTGTCATGTTTTTAATTTAACAGTAAGGTGGACACTGGTTATGGATAAATTAACACTCAAGTGTTGACAACATGATAAAAACATGTCAAATAATGTATTTTGTTATTGTATAATAACATCAGCATTAAAATACATCCACTGCTGACTTGTTATTGTATTGATTACCCACTATTCATGACATGTGTTATATTTGTCTCATAGTGGATTAGTTGCAGCCCTACCATTCTTGTATCAAAATTCTTTCCTACCCAGAGCCCTTTTTGGCTAGCGAAGTGCCTCTAACACACAGTCACATCATACACAGTCTAGTCAATATAGTGCACATTTGTATTAATTTTTCTCATGAAATGATTTAACTTTCATGGAAAAAATACCTTGAAACATATCCTTTGTTTTCATTGCTTGTACAGCTCCATGTTCTGTAATCAAAGCCCTTTGGAGAGCCTGTAATATATACACTAATGTGTAAAGCTTTTTTGTCATTCATTTTCCCGTCGTATTTGTGGAAGCTTATTAAAAAAAATCTTATGTAAGGGTCTGTCTGTTTCTATTTCAAAGTGCATTTTTTCACAAACAAGAGGAAAGTCAAGTAAGACAGAAAGTCTACACGAGTGGTCTAGCCAGGCTGAAACTTTTCTTGTGAAATAGTCGAGCAGGGCTGAGTTGGGTTATCGGCTGTTGCTTCCAAACACTGCTTCAGAGCAGATGACCTTCTCAGTACTGACCTTTAAAGAAATGAGATTTTTCAGCTTAAGTATCAGTTTGCAAATTTTAGCACATGTCAAGGCTATGTTGTATTAAAACTTCTTGGAGCTCTGCTTGTTGTAGTCTTTTCCTGTGCCAGTGTATGTGGTGTACATGGTTTAATGGGTATATTTCCAATTCCAGATTGATGCATATTGCCCGAAGCAAGGGCTATGTGATAGGAGGGTACTACCAGGCGAACCAACACTACAGTGACAACCAGTAAGTATTCCCAACAATGATTGAGTAAAGGCAGGGGCCAGGGGCCATTTTGCACATTAGAATAAAAAAATGGCCCATTAAAATTTGAAGTTTACAATTGACACAAGGGCATTGGACCATTTTGAATTCAGAAAATGGCTAATAATCTTGAAAATGGCCCATTGTCAAAGTTCTCTGTCCCAATCCCTGTCCCAGTATTCAACATGCAACTCTATTGGAATATACCATAATGAGAAATCACAACCTTGTTGTGTGTGACTGGAACTATTGCTACAACTCATTATGACCACCCTGTTATTCAGTTTCTTACTCCAACCAAATTTTGGGCAATATTCCAGCAATATCATGGCGGAGAACACCTGAATTGGGCTTCACACATAGTGCCCATGTGGGGAGTCGTACCTGGGTCTTCAGCGTGATGAGCGGACGCTTTAACCATTAGACTATCCCTCCGCGATTTTTGTGGTGAGGTGAGAAGGAGAGGTTAAAAAATACCTGTCAAAAACATTGTATTTCGTTGGTTAAATATAGATTTGGAAACTTTAAGAGGTACCAGGTTGTGTGAAACTGAAAGGTATATCATTGTCTCTTCCCAAACAAGTTTTCTAGATCTCAGTACTTGCCTCACTCCCTAACATTCCAGCCATCATGGTATATGACCAGACAATCTAGTGATTAATGATCTATGCAATTGGATACAATGACGTGTGTGGGTAACCTCCCAAAACTTAGACTGCCAGGTGTCCTCCCATAAGAACTACAGCTTATAATAACACATGTTATGGTCTGACATTACTGTAATGAGATTTACACATACTTTACAGTTTCAGTTGTTCTATTTATTTCAAAGGTACTCCACTTAAGGTATCAGAACAGTTGACCCTTTCATCTTGTGAGGAGATATTCAAATGAAAACATGGCATGCATCTATAAACTTAATCCCACTTGTACAGTTCATATTATTTACTTCTGAATACAAGTTAGGTCTACAAACCCATCTATAGATAGTATTGCAAAATTATGTAAGTACATAAAGTTATGCATGTAAGTACCGAAATGTTTTGTCCAGCCTCCTTTTGTAAATGTAAAAAATTATGTATATTTCAATGGATAACCATATTTTATCATGTATACAGTGTTAAATCATGACGAGGGGCATATAACTGAATAAAGAATCAAATCGAATCGAACTCAGCAGGGAACACTAATTAGGACTGTTCTATTTCAGCCATGGGTGTTGTCTTAATTAATCCCCTTCATTAGTGTCTAAGATATGGCTGTCTAAGATATGGCGGTCTAAGTTTTGAGAGATATCCCATTTGTGAACCAAGTCAGCAAGCCTGACCCCTGATCCTGTTAGTCGCCTCTTACAATCATAGTCAACTCTAATGAAAGTCTTGGGAAGATGAAGAACAATAGTAATGTTTACTCTTTGATTTTCTTGATGTCCCTTTTTGTTAATGGATGCAGGATTTCTTGCCTGATAAATTCAGGACTATGTATATTGGTACAACATGTAAATGATTGAATGATCATGATGATGTGGCCTTTAGAATTGTACTAACAAGAATATGCTTTAACCATCTGCAAACTATAAATGTCAATTTTCAACATGAGCTTGATAATGAGCAGTCTGACTCTCCTTCCCACAGAGTTTATGATACCCTCATGAATCCACAGGTTCATGTTGTAAATAATAATGTCTGATAGGCTTGTTGAATTATTTGTATGTTCATTTAGCCTCTGGATATACAGATATACAGCATACTAATTTTTTACTGTACAATTATAGGCTGGTGATGAGGTGAAATGCCTGTTTTTTATGGACCCACGAAAACCAATATTGACCAAGGACAATATTGCATTTAGCGGGTCCATAAAAACAGTCCATAATTGTTTTATTATGTAATTACCGAAAAAAACTTCTAAAGACCAAAACGTGTCCATTTAGTCAAGAAAAGTATTTTTATTTTTTGCTACAAACCAATAATGTTTTGTCAACAATACTGTGACATGTAAACAATAAAATGACGTCATAGCTTAAGTCAAAATCTGTTTTTAGTAACTCATGTCAATATGACTTTTGGTTGGAGTTACTATACTTTTCTGTTGACGGTCACATGACCGCCTCTAGTCCAATCAGGTAGCTGGAAAAATATGCTTTCATAATAAAGTTGTATGTTGCATATTTCAATAAAAATATTGTTTCTTTAGAAAAGCAACCTTTCAAACAGTGTTGATATCCTATGGCTTATATATTGTATACATGCTCTTATCTATATATTCCTTTCAAAATCTCAAGAGTAAGTGGAAGATGATTAAAGCTTTGCTTCATGATCTGTGGTACTGAACTTATATGTAGCAGTTTTATTGTTGAAACTAATTCTTGTCGTCAAGCCCAGTTTGTAGTATTGATCATGCTCATCCTTTATGTCATGCTTGCTGTGTTCCAGATTGAATCATATGGCCAGGACAATTGGGAGGAAAGTGGCAGACAACTTTGCAGATGCTTGTATATTTATGGTAATGTGCCTTGTTAAAAAAGTAACACGTCATAAACACAATAAATACCTTCGAATATAAGATTTTATGCATCCTTACACTCTACGATTTTTACCATGTTCACATGAATACATTTTTTTTGCCAGATCAAGATTATTTTTTTGGGTGTCTCTGTCCTTTTTTTCAAAAGCTGTGCTACATTAGGGATGTTTGGCAAAAGTGGACAATACATAAATTAGAAATGTCAGCAGATAAGTGCACCTTCGAGGTGTGGCTATGTTCAAATCTGTTGCACAATGCTAATGCCATACCGTTATGCGGTAGATAGTATGATGTCTGGAGTGTCATACTCCAAATATTTGACTAGCCCCATGATCTACCTTTATCAATACCGCCTCCGTGGTGTAGTGGTTAGAGTGTCCGCCCGGAGAGCGAAAGGTCGCGGGTTCGATCCCCGACCGCGTCATACCAAAAGACCTTAAAATATGGTACTTGTTGGTCCCTGCCTGGCGCGCGGCATGAATGCATACAACAAGAACTGGTCGGCTCGGAGTCAGTATAATGTGTCTGAGTGGGGTATTCATGCTTCACTGCGCCATGGTATCTCAGTGGGCTAGCACTATAAAACCAGCTTAAGTCTGGGCTAGTACAAGCAGCGGCACATACACACACACACGCATGCACGTCGTCATATGAGCGAAATATTCTCAAGCACGACGTTAAATCCAATTTCACCTCACCTTTATCAATGTTTAATCTCATCCCCATTGTGGAGTCAAGGTTAGAACTGACCCCCTGCTGTTCACAGGAGATCACCAAATTAATGTGGATGTTACTGTTGGTGACTTTGTTGATTGCTTGGCGTCAACAGCATGGCTCCTTCCTGACATGATCATTCACTGGATTGTCTGGTCCAGGTTTCATTATTGAAAGCTGTTGTCATATAGCTGGAACACGGCTGATTGTGGTCTTAACAAAACCGAAACAAAGAAGGAAAGTTGTGTTGTGAAGTCAATTCAGTTTTATTTTCAAGTCTGGAATATGACTTTTGGTTGCCACAAGCTGAATTTGGGCTCGAATCGTGTAGTTACAGTTGAATATATTTGATGTTTACAGATAGACAACAGACATGTGAGCCCAGAGTCAGTGTCCCAGGTCTTCAAGGGATACTCTCTTCGAGACAACGCTTGGAAGGAACTAGAAAAGAAGTAAGAACAGATGCCATTATCCACTAAAGAAAATAATTTTCTGAGTGGCCAGTTGCCATTTTTAGAAACCAAGAACACGCTGAAGAGCGTGTATAGATATAATGACTTAAAGCACTCCATACTGTTACAGAGCAGTGAGGTAGCCCAGTGGTGAAATATAAATTTATTTGGGAAATGACTTCAAATGAGACAATTCATGGAGAAAAAACCTATTGTAATATTGCTACCGCAACAGTTATTTTCCCTTCAATAGTCACCCCTCTAACTCGTATGGTAAGCCGAACCCAGCACGTTTATATGAAATAAAAACAAATTGAAGTCTCTTTAAATAACTGACAAGAAACTTGAAACCCAGATCAAGTAAACAGTTAAAACATAAACTCAATGAAGCTGTAAGTCCACACCCAAACATCCTGTATTTTGCACAGAAGTCAACGGAAGTCAATTACTTAACTATCAATAGTCACACATATTATCGATACATCGATAGTATTTCGTTTCCACCATCGATTAATTTCTATCAGAGACTCAACAATTGCAATCCATCGATAGTTCAATGCATTGTTACAACCCTAATATGAAAAAAGCCTATTTCTGGTGTAAAGCACCATGATATTGCTGGAGTATTTTGAAAAGCACCATAAAACCACTCAGGCTGCTTGAACTTAGAATGAACAGTACAATTTGATTGGACAGGTACTTTCAGTATTGTTCATATTAGAGTGTACAGATATTGAATACATGACAATAACCTCTCTCCTATATGGGTAACAAGTCTGCATGTCCAGTCTCTCTTGAAATCTATGTAACCATACTCTCTCGCTTTTACAATAGCATAATCCCATTAAATTGATTGCTTTACAAGATTTCGAGATTACTTTTGCAATATTATTATTCTAGCACTAAAACATGTCCGGGCTGAGATGTAATGTGCTCGTATCTTTGTTTTGTGTTTCAGACGAGTTGTTGAAGAGGACGCATTAAGTGCAGCATCCACATTATTAAAATCTGAATCCTACAAGAAAATATTGGACTTTGACAATCATTTTGATGATATAAAACACGACTGGAGGAACCTAGAGCTGAACGACCTCATCAGTCGCTGCACATAACTCCACCTTCAGGGATCTGTGAATAATCCTGTAATATATGTTTTCTGGACTGGTACGGAGAGACTGTGAGAGCGTGGGTCAGTCGGTGACTCTGGACGGCGTCACGTTCAAGCTGTTACCAGAAATAATTGTGTATATGCATGGTGCATGGTTCTCTGAATCTGGTTGTATGGTTGCAGGCGAATGTGAGTGAAGTTGCAATATTCACAGCTATGTAACGTAACAGTTGTCTCCCCTGTTGTAAACCTATGTTTAAATCTTTACAAATGTTGTGGTTCTGAGTGCTCAAACAACTCATTTCTGTCAGACAAGAATGAAGTAATCATTATATATCTGTGACTTAACGATAACTTGAAACAAATATCCATGTCAAAACACATTGCCCTATGCACTTATGACTGTCATTTGATGTGAGGATCGGAATTTATTAATTTAATGACATTTCTCTCTTTTTATTAATATTTATGTAACATTTTTTAAGATATACAGTTGTATGTTTATTCAATTTCCATGTTTGTCATTAATTTTCATTCAATATTAGTATCGCCAAAAAATAAAGGACTATATCATTTGACAGGATCCTGTTTGTTGTGTGACGTTTAGCTTGTCTAGTCACAAATATTGACTGTAGTCACAGGTACTGTTTAGTACAGAGTTTAGTCCAGTAGTAGCACACGTAGAAATCATCATCATATATGGCATGCATCCGAGACATGCATGAGCAGAAGGGTCAGAATCTGGCTGAGGTGGGAGTGATCTCCATTGGGTAAAAAAATCATGATGCATAGCTGAAAACTGTCCAGGGCCCCATTTCAGAAAGCTATAGTAGACCTGCGACTGTCGTGTGTGTATGTTACAGTATAGGAGTTGCGACAGTCGTAGCTACGATAGCTTTGTGAAGCGGGGCCCTGAACATTCCCACATTTGTTACCAATTTGCAACTTTAACTCGCAAATATTTCTGCTTTAGTTTATTTGAAAAGAATATGACAAGGAGTGAATTTTATGAGACACTATTAAAGAGAGGGTTTTGATGTTTATTTACTTCTCCAATCTCACACTTTGCATCTCTCCCTTCTCTGTCAATCCTGTAGGGCTGGGACGGGTAACCCGGATACCCGGGACAGTTGGGTAATGAGTTGGACCCGGGTACCCGTCTCAATACCCAGACCCGTTATAATCATGTGACAAATAGATTATACAATGTAATATGTTATTCTTTCATGATTAAAAGGTTGTATTATCTTTGAAGATTTAGAAATAATTTACAGTCACTTGTTTTGAATATAATACATGGTTAAGATATTGAAAACTCGAAATTGTAGCCTCCGAGCTGAAGAATATATTGCCATTTCTTGCAAATTTGATGTCAGGAATTAACATAATGGGTATCCGGGTAGGGTAGGGATAACAGGGCAGTGTACCTGGGTAGAAAATTTGGACCCGTCCCAGCCCAACAGTCCATAGTGGAAACGTGCTTGGAACCCTCAGAATGTTTTCAGTTTCCTCAACCTACCCAACACACTCAGCAGTTAGCTCCACCTTCCCTTGTCATTGTCACAGCGACAACTGACCATGCAGCACTGTTTGTTCTCATGCTCATATGTTTTCAGTCTGTGCATTTTAAACAGAACATAAATTATTTAACCAGAAAAATGTATTTATACGTTGCCATGTTTGTGTAACTTTGTATGTGGAATGTGGTAAACCTGATGGTCCAAAACTTAGTGTTTCTTTCATTATCATGTACCTTTCATTGGTGGCATGTGATGCAGTGAGCCTGATGGTCCAAAACTCCTTACAGTGTTTCTTTCATTATCATGTACCTTTCATTGGTGGCATGTGATGCAGTGAGCCTGATGGTCCTAAACTCCTTACAGTGTTTCTTTCATTATCATGTACCTTTCATTGGTGGCATGTGATGCAGTGAGCCTGATGGTCCTAAACTCCTTACAGTGTTTCTTTTATTATCATGTACCTTTCATTGGTGGCATGTGATGCAGTGAGCCTGATGGTCCTAAACTCCTTACAGTGTTTCTTTCATTATCATGTACCTTTCATTGGTGGCATGTGATGCAGTGAGCTTGATGGTCCTAAACTCCTTACACTCTTTGCCGCGTCATCATGTACCAGACTTTGTGTAGGCATGTGATGTTTTGAGCCTGAAGTTCTGATCCTCCTTACAGTGTTTCTCTCATTAAGTACAGCTTCAAGAGACAGTGAGGCACATGATGTGGTGAGCCTGATGGTCCTACACTCCTTACAGTGTTTTACAAAGTATGGTGTAAGGGAGTCTGTAGTGGAAGTGTTGTCAAGTTTGAGGACTGAATTGCAGAGTTTATTGTGAAAATAAGAAAATACTAGTGTAGGACTGAACACCAATTTGCAGGCATATAGTGATTTTTAATGTGGTAGGTGGAACTTGGTTTTTCAGAATGGTAGTATTTAACAGTCATAAACATTTCAAAGAGTTTCTGCTTGCAGAGTGAAAACTGAACTATAGAACTTTTTCTATTAGATCTATACGAACCATTTTAAATTTTGTCACTGTTGAAGAAAATATACTGATGATTGTATTCAAGTATTGTTGCATCTTCACAATGTTTCATATGTACATGTGTGTAAGCTGATATAAAACATAATATGATTACAAGATAACCACCTGTAACCATGGTAACAATGCCATAAAGTGTAAAGTATTCATTATTTATTCCTAGGGTTATCGTTTTCATCTGTATTCTGTGTAAATTAAATCAGTTGGAAAAAGGCTTTGCTTTAGTCAAATGTAGACGTGTAAAGATATAAAACAGCATTTCTTTTATTCAGGGAGTTGTATTAACTCTGCTGATTACAACAGACCAACAAAGCTCTAACGTTATATCACTATGCTCTGTATGTCTCCACAGTCACTGGCCCGACTGGCAGGTGAATTTTCATGAGATAATTTTTTAAATATGTAACTCGCTCCGACCTATAAGTTATGATACACTTTTTAAATCATGCAAGATTATGGCCTGATAAATGATGGTATTTTACCTTTTTGTAATCTTTTGCTTAGTTTCTACATACAATTTCAGGCTGGTAAATTATGTGGGCTTATAACTTTCAGGCATAGCTTGACCGACTCTGGCAAAACTGGCATTTGGAAACTATTTCGTACAATGTCTACCCACAGTTCTTCAGATACCTTTAATGTGACTGTACATCAATATGGGTGGCTAATGTTTCACAGCACTGAAATGACATTGTATCATGGGTAATGTGTAGATATTTAAGGGGAATAGCATGGAAGATGAGTTAATATGCACTGTCGGTGTGCAAGAACACAGTGAGCAAGATGTTGCACTGAGACAAGGTGTAATGTGCTAGGTAGCTTGTTTATTCTCCTGTTGCTATGGTTACTGTTTGTATGACGTAAACAATGACTTGCTCATTCAATTACCCATCTTCGTATGTAACTTGCTATCATAGATGCCTTTCTTCATAACCATGTTAGGTTAAGGTGTTCGCTCGTCACTCCAAAGACCCGGTTTGATTCCCCACATGGGTACAATGTTTGGTGTCCCCTGACGTGATATTGCTGGAATATTGCTGAAAGTGACGTAAAACTTAACTCACTCAGTCACTCATTAACATATTGACAATATTTTTTTCTCAGCAGTAACATTGTACGATTGTTTTTTGTATATTTGTATTATTAAAGCTATAATTAATGGGATAAAGTAGTGGTTTGGTAATCATACTGAAGACCAGGGCTTGATTCCTTGACACAAAGTCTGAAGCCTATTTCAAGAGTGATATTGTCATATTACTTGAATTTCACTAAAAGAGACCTAAAACCATAGTCATTCTCTCATGTTGGCGTTTATTTAATCATTTTCAGAATGCAAATTAATTTCATGATTTATAGAATACAATGTTGGTTATTTATTTAGGTTACACTATGTTGAGGAGAAACCAGAATTATCTGTTGGGATGGTTGGTGAAATATAATATATTTTCTCTCCGTTTGTTTATTGGCTCACAAGTCTTGTATCTTTCACAAACTATAGTATTCAGATAGCATAGCTCCTGGGTTACCATGGATACCTTTGTGTAGTATGTATCAGGGTTCCCACATTTTGGTGAAAAAAAAAAGAACCTGCAAGTAATATTGGTATCACAACTCGAGGTGAACTGTTTTCACAAATCCAACATATTCTTCATTATTCGGGATAGTATGTCTCCATCAATATAAATTCCCGCAACCCACATGACACCATGGCTTCACACTTCGTTACAGTGTTCAGTTTCCTTTGATTGATTGATGGCCCTGTGTCTGATTGAGGCTGCAGCGGTTCTTCCTGGTTAACTTTGAATGTGATAAACATTTGAGTTTCATTGGCAGATTCAGGGTGTTCGAAAAAAACACAAAAAACACACACACACACACACACGACTTAAGGCCACATTGAAGATTTTTTTTTCGGAGCCAATGATTTGGGGGGTTCGAACCACCTGATCCACCACCCCCCCTTTCAAACTTCCTGAATCCGCCCATGAGTTTAACCTAAAAATACATCAATTAATTCATTGAGATTCTAACTTACAACTGAAGCTAATGTTGTTTGATTGTCAAGTGGTGCCCAACCCAAAAGAGTTGCTTGATCACAGAGTGTTTCTGAAGGCTGAGGATGGTAACCTACCCCAACACAATTAACTTTTAGGATCTAAGAAGCATGCTAGTTTGGTAAAGTGCATGGAGGGGACAGCCAGGGCCATTTGGATTCCAGTAAACTGTTGCCTTGCCAAATGTACCAGCTAAATCACATCTGCATTTAAGACCTGTGAAAATCCAGGTTAGAATTGGTCTTCAACCTATGCTTGTTGTAAGATTGGGTTTGGGTGGTCAGGCTCGCGGACATGGTTAGTGCATGTTATTGTATCCGAGTTTCATAGATAGATGCTCTTGAAGTCAATGTCTTGATTGTCAGCACCAGACTTGAATATTTACAGATTGTCATCATTTAGCTGGTAAATTGGTGAGTGCATTAAAACAAGCAAACCTGCCTCCAAGAGCATAATTGCTCTTGCCATTCAGTGAATATTTTGTTTTCAGTGTTATACAAATTTGGTGCAAAAGACACATTGAAGTACAGTGTTGAAAGCATATGGTCATAATGGCCAGTGAGGCATGGGACCAGAAATCTAGACCAGATATGAAACCTGGCTTCAGAAGCATCTCGTGAACACTGCGTCAGTTTGATTGTCACAATATTGGAGTTTACATTTTTTTACAGTTGTTGTGCGACAGATCTATCCTCATTCCTGCGCATGTTTCTCTGTATCATGTTTGTTTACACAGGTGTTTGTACGAGATGTATATTACTTCGGTACAAATGGTGATCAGACAAAGTAACGGTCCAAAACATCCTGCAGTCGAGATGTAAATAAAACTATCAATAGACGGACGGTTGTTGCCTTGTTTGTTATTCAGCTAGTTAACACCAGTTGCAGAAACACACGATCATCGATTTGAATCCAGGTTCCCCCTATTGGGTTTGTCTGCTCCACTTTACGATTTTCATTCTGTATACCATGACAAATACTGATGAAGCCAGCATGAATGAAATAACTCGGTACAAGCTTATGTGCCCATGTTAGTTCAGGCTTTCATTACAAGGCGGAACGGAACAGCTTTACTGCCCAATGAATTATTCAGAATTCTCTAGCTGCTGTAGATCGTTTCCTGAGTTCCGGTGTGAACCCAAAGTTTGTAGAGTTCTGAATAATGATTGAATAATGATTGAATAATGATTGAATAACAATGTTCATATACATGTTCTTTTATTCTGTCTGCAGTCATTTCTGGCTTCTAAACCATGCACTCATTCAGGTTCCGGTTAGCTTTATACACAATAAAACAGCTGAAGCAGCAACTTAAGTCGGACTTGTACCTCGAAGGTGACATAATGATACAGGCGGATAATGAAACCTGTAGCATCAGCCACCATCTCACCAAATAGAATTTAGTGAGTAATAAAGATTTTTGCACAAAATGTGTCGTAGAATGATAAATCCCTGATCATGTAGTGGATGCTGCCATGATGTGAACGACAACACTCTCAGTGGTGTGAAAGTATTGAATCTGGGCCGGGACAACCAGTATCTCACGGCATCATTATACGTTCACAGATGCTACATACACAATTACACCTGTGAAGATTCGTAGCACTATTGAGATCTTCCAATTCTGTTAGCACGTGACCACTGCTGCCATAAACAAGATAAAAGCACTACCAAATATACCAGGTCTCATAAATATATATATGTACAGGACACATTTCTTGTACAGTACATCTGTGATAAAAACATTCAGTGAAAAGAACAAATACTACTGACGACAGTGATTTCATTTCACAGTAAATTATACATATTTTAAAATAGGGTAACTTTATGAGTATCTTGACAATAGTTCAGAGGGTGTTTGTTATGGCAAGGAAAGCTAACATTCAGACCAAGGCTAAACTCACCTCTTTGTACCGACAAATACTTTAATGATTTCCACAGTTGTTCTTTGGGAAAGCGCATTAGAATACTCAGTGTCTTGTTATAAGTTGATAATACTCGTGGAATATGGAAATAGTTTACATACTGAACAAAACAAGTAAGGTACCATGCATTCTTTTTGAGTATTTTTACAACAAAGAAATATCCCCTGAAACATTCATGATCCCTGACCTTTTCTGTTCAGTATAGAGACAGGACAATATTTATCAAATGAACAATTCATTCATTCCATGTTAAACAGACTTGAAACAAGGCACAGACTGAAATTCTTGACATAACACACAGCTACCATTGTATTTCAGTTCAAATATTGTGGTTTTCTCCCCAAAACATACCGACAAGGGCACAACGACCATGCAGGAGATTGCAGTATATTTTACAATGTCCTGGAATAGCTCATATTGTTTGATTTAATGACACTAAGATACATTTTCACCATCATCCTGCCTGAAGTAAAGATAATTCATAGTACATTAACATCAGAGGTGGCTATATTTTTGTTATATATTAATGTCAACTGTTGCAAACATCATTTCTCACACACAACCAACTTGTAGCATCATGCAAATTATTTAATGTCAACTGCCGACTACACAAACTTTCATTTGGAACAGCTGACCTCATTGACAGCTGAAAGCTAATTATTTCTGAAAGAGTTATGGTAGCACTGTTCACTTCTTGTCTTTTGTCAGAGTTCATGTTTTAGCACTGAATGTAGGCATAATGTCAGTCATTGTGAGCTTACATCTTTGAAAAGCAAGTCCTGATAGTACAATAGGAGCTGTTATGGGAGAGATGTTGAAGAGAAATAAATCAAAAACATCCTCTCCATACATATAAATATCACTAACGGGTCATTCTGTAAAACAATCAATTTCAGATTTAATCTGAACCACGATCACACAAGTACATGAATTTAAATATATACTATATACATCCATTCCAGAATTTGAAAAAAACAAACAAATTTCATTACTACACAACATGATAGCAAAGAGGTGAGACAAGTCAGAAATATAGTTGACAGATTCTACAGAGGAACAATCAACAGCTCCAGAGACACTTGTTCCCATCATGACTATGTCATAGCTTCTACATTCTCCACTAGCGGGGACTTGAACTGAATCTCAAGGTCATCCGACTCATCTTCTTGAAGTTCCTCCCCCTCCGCTGTGACATCTTGGTTGTCTTGTATCTGTTTGTCAGCTTCCTCCTTGAAGACAACCGGTTCCAGCACAACAGGGGGATCCTGCTGGGGCACCTCCTGGGGGGAGACCTCCGGCTCCAGGACAACAGCTGGGACATCCTGCTGCCCGCGCAGGTTAGAAATTGTCTCTTGTTTAGTTTTCTTGGTGCTTGCCGGGCGCTTACTCTCCAGCCGGGCCTTCTTGAGGACATCAGAAGGTGTGTAGTCCCCTGAGAGGAAGAGGGTCTGTCTCTCCTGGCCCTTCCTCTGTGCAGACATGGTTCTCTCACAGTGGGAGGACCGGCTCCCGGGCTTGATGTTCTCCTTGTGGTGCAGGATCTGTTTGGGCGTGGTTGGGGCTCCTGTGTGCCTGGCAAGCTCCATCTGGAGCCGCAGAACCTCTGCCTTCAAATGATGATTTATCTGAAAAAAAACACAGAAGTAAGTTGTCTGTCTCTTGCTGCCACACTTACAAATGTTTCAGCCAATTCACGACAGTCTTTAAATAACTGAGATGAGCCAGACAAGCCAGTGATTGATATAATGAGCACCTGCTCACAATATCATGGTATAATATCTCCGCAGAACAGTTGGTCCTTATGGACTTCTTGGGCACCACTGTACCGCGGGATCCACATGGAGTATTTTGCTGCCTCTACCCTTATAGAAAAGGAAGAAGTGGCAGAGTGCTAAGTAATTGTTTATTGTGTGATGGTACTCAGCAACAGTCAAGTTACTGGACAGTAGTTTGTAAATAATCAAGGCTGGACCAGACGTACTATGACAGACATCATGAGTATCTATCAATGAATGAGTATCTATGAGCGGCAACAACCACGGCAGTGAGCCAAGCCACCCAATCACCTTATTATGACAAACATAGGATGCTTATACCAGTTCTTGGATCTTCACTGAGGCAGAGTTGTACTTTACTTGAATAATAACGTGAAAACTAATCAATATAAAAACTGAAGAGATATACACATCATACATTTGTCAGCTCAAAGTTCTCGGCCTTTGTTTTCTGAAATAGTTTGATCTTCTGTTTGAGGTTCATGTGTCCTCCCATCTTGGCCACTTCTTCCTGCAGACTCTTCACCTTCTCCAGTGCTTCCTCCAGCTCCTGGGAAACGAAGACACAAAGCTGAACTTACCAGATGCACAATTCCTGAATATTTGTTGCAATAATTCCTTAAATACTCGCAGAAGTTTTTAATATGAGCCATAACTGACTCAACATATCTCCACTTATAAGAGGAGAATGAGTGACTTTAGTTTTATACCGCTTTTAGCAATATCACGGCAGAGGACACCAGAAATGAACTTCACACAGTGATTATAAGAGGAGAAGCTGCAGATGGCCATATTACCAAGTAAGTGTAGTGACACAGCTTATGAGTGCACTTGATTACAACAATTCTAGCTCTGCATTTTCACACATTTCAGCCTTTGGAACACAAAGATTTAAATTCAAAAACAAAGATTGCCGTTTAACATTCACCAATGATAGATGCTGTTGCCCCCCGTTAAGGCTACAAGGCACCTGAATGAAAGTATTTACGAATACAGGTATCCGCACTGACTCCAAGGCACTGGAGACTTACCCTACCGTCAGACCTATGGGGACAAGAAACACTCACACTCTGAGACTTGCTGTAATGTTCCTTCAGCACCTCCAGCTCCGAGTGCTTGATGCTCTTCTCCTCCCTGTCCTTGATACACACAGCAGCCAATCTGTGCACAGATTACACAATGGGATCAAGATGGATGGACTGAGAACATAAAACTACAACCACCTCTCAATGAACTGAAAACTGCATCACCTCCAAAGATAAGGTGCGATAGGACTTTCTTCTGGGTGACCACTTCATGTATTAGGCCATATATCAACTTATTATGCAAGCATATTTTTCCGGGCTACCTGATTGGTCTAGAGGCGGTCACGTGACCGTCGACAGAAAAGCATATTGACTCCAACCCAGGTCCGACCAAAAGTCATATTGACCTGAGTTACTATGACGTCATTCACGTCAAGCTATGACGTCATTCTATTGTTTACATGTCACAGTATTGTTGACATAACGTTATTGGTTTGTAGTGAAAATAAAATTCCTTTTCTTGACTAAATGGACATGTTTTGGATTTTAGAAGCTTTTTTTCGGTAATTACATAATAAAACAATTATAGACTGGGGAATTCGGTCAATACCTGTTTTTATGGACCCGCGAAAAGCAATATTGACCTCGGACTTCATCCTCAGTCAACATTGCTTTTCGCGGGTCGTCCTCGGTCAATATTGCTATTCACGGGTCCATAAAAAACAGGTATTGACCTCATCACCAGTCTATAATTGTATAATATAACAAAAAAGTTGAAATAATTATCTGTGCATATATCAGCCATGCATGATCTTAACTGCTGTCATCTGTTGTCATTAGTCTTCATTGTTCAGTTCTGTTCAATGTCTAACAGGAATTTACCAAAACTAAACATGCATAATGCCAGTATCACTATTCATGTAAACTGTGATACCTTGTATTCTCATCAACCAAGGTCTTCATGGAGTTTTCCAGATCTTCCAGTCTTCTCTGTCTGTCAGTCATGCTGAAAGTAATACAACATACTATACTTAGCTGAACAATAACACTGATATCTTACTCAGGTAAATAGGATGTAATCTTACTTTGTTTCTTCACTGATGAGATACACATCAGATACAATTAATCATTACAAAGATGCAGAAACAACAGACACATTTAACATTATATCCAGACATACAGAACCATGAGAATCCCTACCTCTCTATGAGCTCCATCTTGGCCTGCTGGTGCCGGTCAGTCTGCTGCTTAGCCAGCCTCATCTCCTCCTCCGCCTGTCTCACCAACTCTTCCTTTTCCTTGACCTGGGCCTCCTGCATACTGGCTCTGTCACACACAATCATATCATTCAATTCAGGTTTCTATTCCGCGTCCTGCATACTGGCTCTGTCACACACAATCATATCATTCAATTCAGGCCTCCTGCATACTGGCTCTGTCACACACAATCATATCTTTCAATTCAGGCCTCTACTGGCGTCCTGCATACTGGCTCTGTCACACACAATCATATCATTCAATTCAGGCCTCTACTGGCGTCCTGCATACTGGCTCTGTCACACACAATCATATTATTCAATTCAGGCCTCTACTGGCGTCCTGCATACTGGCTCTGTCACACACAATCATATCTTTCAATTCAGGCCTCTATTTGATGTCCTGCATACTGACTCTGTCACACACAATCATATCATTCAATTCAGGCCTCTATATGGCGTCCTGCATACTTGCTCTGTCACACACATTCATATCTTTCAATTCAGGCCTCTATTTGGCGTCCAGCATACTGGCTCTGTCACACACAATCATATTATTCAATTCAGGCCTCTATTTGGCATCCTGCATACTGGCTCTGTCACACACAATCATATCTTTCAATTCAGGCCTCTATTTGGCGTCCAGCATACTGGCTCTGTCACACACAATCATATTATTCAATTCAGGCCTCTATTTGGCATCCTGCATACTGGCTCTGTCACACACAATCATATCATTCAATTCAGGCCTCTATTTGGCGTCCTGCATAGTGGCTCTGTCACACACAATCATATTATTCAATTCAGGCCTCTATTTGGCGTCCAGCATACTGGCTCTGTCACACACAATCATATTATTCAATTCAGGCCTCTATTTGGCATCCTGCATACTGGCTCTGTCACACACAATCATATCTTTCAATTCAGGCCTCTATTTGGCGTCCTGCATACTGGCTCTGTCACACACAATCATATTATTCAATTCAGGTTTCTATTTGGCATCCAGCATACTGGCTCTGTCACACACAATCATATCTTTCAGTTCAGGCCTCTATTTGGCGTCCTGCATACTGGCTCTGTCACACACAATCATATCATTCAATTCAGGCCTCTATTTGGCGTCCTGCATAGTGGCTCTGTCACACACAATCATATCATTCAATTCAGGCCTCTATTTGATTTCCTGCATACTGACTCTGTCACACACAATCATATTATTCAATTCAGGCCTCTATTTGATGTCCTGCATACTGGCTCTGTCACACACAATCATATCATTCAATTCAGGCCTCTATTTGGCGTCCTGCATACTGGCTCTGTCACACACAATCATATCTTTCAATTCAGGCCTCCTGCATAGTGGCTCTGTCACACACAATCATATCTTTCAATTCAGGCCTCTACTGGCAAACAGCATATTGGCTCTGTCACACACAATCATATCTTTCAATTCAGGCCTCCTGCATACTGGCTCTGTCACACACAATCATATCTTTCAATTCAGGCCTCTACTGGCATCCAGCATACTGGCTCTGTCACACACAATCATATCTTTCAATTCAGGCCTCCTGCATAGTGGCTCTGTCACACACAATCATATCTTTCAATTCAGGCCTCTACTGGCATCCAGCATACTGGCTCTGTCACACACAATCATATTATTCAATTCAGGTTTCTATTTGGCGTCCTGCATACTGGCTCTGTCACACACAATTATATCTTTCAATTCAGGCCTCTATTTGGCGTCCTGCATACTGGCTCTGTCACACACAATCATATCATTCAATTCAGGCCTCTATTTGGCGTCCTGCATAGTGGCTCTGTCACACAATCATATTATTCAATTCAGGCCTCTATTTGATGTCCTGCATACTGACTCTGTCACACACAATCATATTATTCAATTCAGGCCTCTATTTGATGTCCTGCATACTGGCTCTGTCACACACAATCATATCATTCAATTCAGGCCTCTATTTGATGTCCTGCATACTGACTCTGTCACACACAATCATATTATTCAATTCAGGCCTCTATTTGATGTCCTGCATACTGACTCTGTCACACACAATCATATTATTCAATTCAGGCCTCTATTTGGCGTCCTGCATAGTGGCTCTGTCACACACAATCATATTATTCAATTCAGGCCTCTATTTGATGTCCTGCATACTGACTCTGTCACACACAATCATATTATTCAATTCAGGCCTCTATTTGATGTCCTGCATACTGACTCTGTCACACACAATCATATTATTCAATTCAGGCCTCTATTTGATGTCCTGCATACTGACTCTGTCACACACAATCATATTATTCAATTCAGGCCTCTATTTGGCGTCCTGCATACTGGCTCTGTCACACACAATCATATTATTCAATTCAGGCCTCTATTTGGCGTCCTGCATACTGGCTCTGTCACACACAATCATATCATTCAATTCAGGCCTCTATTTGGCGTCCTGCATACTGGCTCTGTCACACACAATCATATTATTCAATTCAGGCCTCTATTTGGCGTCCAGCATACTGGCTCTGTCACACACAATCATATTATTCAATTCAGGCCTCTATATGGCGTCCTGCATATTCTATTACTGGATCTGTCACACACAATCATATCTTTCAATTCAGGCCTCTATTTGGCGTCCAGCATACTGGCTCTGTCACACACAATCATATCTTTAAATTCAGGCCTCTATTTGGCGTCCAGCATACTGGCTCTGTCACACACAACATATCATTCAATTCAGGTTTCTATTTGTAGTCCTGCATAGTGGCTCTGTCACACACAACATATCATTCAATTCAGGCCTCTATTCGGCATCTGTCAGACAAGTAGGCATCACACATCATTCAGTTCAGACCTCTATTTTAAGAATGTGCAAACCCTTCTTCAGGAAATTCAATTCTCTTAATTTAAGATAGCTTAATATCTATTAATCTCATCACACGTACAAATAATGTCTACAAAACAAGAAGGCAATGCCTGATGGCTCGTGGACTGTTTTTCGATGTAACCTGGGAGGTGTACTCACTGAGCATGGGCCGTCTGGACCTCGCCCTCCAGGATACAGCACCTCTCTTCCAGGCAATTCTGCTCACACTGCAACTGACTCAAGTCTTTCTGAAAGCACAACAATGAATCAGGGATTAGTCCATAGCACAACTGACATGTGATTATGAAAAACGTGGCAGACAACAAACCCGTGGCTCCAACCCTTTCAGGTTGTTTAGGTTTTTCACTAGGATGGGGATTGACCCCGTCCACATGTAACTGATAGGCAGTAGCCTAGTGGTTAATGCGTTCGCTCATCACACTAAACACCCGGTTCGATTCCCCACATGGGCACAATGTGTGAAGCCCATATCTGGTGTCCCCGCAGTCATATTGCTGGAATATTGATGAAAGTGGCGTAAAACTAAACTCGCTCGCTCACTGATAGGAACGTGTAGTGTGTGTCTCACACCCCATAAGATATCTTACAGAAGTGTTAAAATGATTAGGCAAGTGTAGATTGTCTCAGCTCAAGACTGAAATTAAGAGGTTATCTAGGATCATTTGGAGGTTACCAGTATATTTTTCTATAGATCTATATTTTCAAATAAGACAACACATTCCAGTGACGTAATGTCAGTCAAGGTATGAAGAGTCACCTGGTACTTGATAATGGTTTCATTCTTCTCATGCAGTAGGACGTCATTCTGGTTCATCAGTTTCTCCAGCTCCAGGATTGTCTTGTTGGAGCTGACAGGTTGTCAAGGCAACAGTTTCAGAAAGTGGGAATACATCTATTTCAATGTGAATCTAATGTTTGGTTGGAAATCTCTGCTTCATATCTTATAATGTATGCAAGGTGTGTTGGATAAACAAAATACCAGATTTTGAACCTACACTCTCAGAGTCACGGCACTTTATTGCCAGTGCACAAAGTCAGCGATCTCACACACTCTGCTGCTGTGGCTTACACAAAACTCAACCAACAAATACTAGAATCTCTACTTTACTGAGATAGTGTAATCCCATATATAACATATGTTGCATTTGACCAATTACTAAACAGCATTGTGTATTAATAATAATATAATATGTAATTTTTAGAGTAAAATTGATATTTTATACTTATCCTGACTCATGCTCTTTTGCTTGTCTTCTTCTTCTTGCGAACATAGTGGAACACTTGTATCTCCTTATTTGAAGCTCCCTTCAAAATAAAATCACTAATTGGTACTCACCACGAGTTGCTCCCCTTTGTCTCCCTTGGCGGGAAAAGGTGTCGCCACCCTCTGGCCATGTGCTCCACTCTCTCCTGATTTAGCGAGCCCAACACTTGAATTTACAGGGAAATCCAAAGTGTTATGTGGGGAGGATGGGAGGGCTAACCTCATGAGTCAGGATAAGTATAAAATATCAATTTTACTCTAAAAATTACATATTTTTCCTTATCCTGACTCATGCTCTTTTGCTTGTAGCATCCTACGGAACGGAGGTGGGTAACAGAATACTTTGGATTTATAATTAGTGATTTTGTATAGATATACTGTAATATCCCCTACGGGAACTTCATGAAGCCTTAGATTTAGGATGTTTCCTGTATAAAGAAACCATAGGTTATATAAAGCCATTAAAGGGGAATTACATTATGAATATATTGAACAATACATATAAATTATATATATATATATATAGGTGACTCTGATAGAGGCACTGAAATTGACTATATCCAAGTATATGCTTAAGGTTGAATACTTAAGCTGAACATATATACATAGCCCTAAAACTCCTTAGAGTTATAAGCTAGATGAGTGTGTATAAAATACATATTAATCTTGTGAGGCTAATATTTTAACGCCACTGAGGGACTGTCAGTTGCTGAGCGAGGACCAGTGGTCCGAATGGTGAATGCCAGAGACATCTTCTGTAGTGATGTCTCTTAGGTAGTGATTAGCAAATACCATGTTAGATTTCCAATAGCATCCTTCCATAATCGTGTTCAAGGAACAGTTACCGTAGGAAGGCGAGGGTAGAGGCCAGTGCCCTGATCTCATGTGGATTTGATGCTGTTGGTGGGTCCAAGCCTGCTGCCTTGTAGGCACGGAGAATGACAGTCCTTATCCAAATAGATATTGTGGTTCGTGACACTTCTGTTTGATTCGTGGCGATAATGGGATGAATAAACGCTTGAGAAATCTTCTCCTTGTTTTGGATCGTCAGAATAAACTTTGAGCTCTTACGGACACAGTGATAGGTCTTGTGTATCTTGTGATCCGAGAATAGAGGATAGCGCCGAGATGTGGAATAATCTGTCTGGTTGACCTGGCAGTTGATTCTTTGCAATGAAATCCCATCTTAATCCGAGGTGTGCTGTGTTATGATTGTCATCAAACTGTATCCTCTCAGTAATCCAGAGCGTGAATTTCAGACATTCTTGCTGCTGTGGCTAGCGATAGCAGAAACAATGTTTTCTGTGAGAGAAATTCAAAGTTTGTCGATTCAAAGGTTCATAGACCTCACTGTGAGGTGTTGTAACACTACATTCAGATCCCAAGCTGGGGCGTGGAACTTCCGCTTTGGTCCTCCAATCGGGCGCCGTAGTAAGGCCAGTAACTCTGGAGATCTTGTCAATTTGACACCCGTTCTCATGGTGATTACAGAGCTAAGCGCGGCAAGATATGTTGATATCGTTGAACCTTTTAAATGTTTGTTTTGGCGTAGGTAACACAAATAGTCTGCCACTTGAGGTTGTGAAGCCTCTCTTGCTGTAAACCCTTTCTTTGTTGCATAATTTTCAAACTGTGCCACTTGTCGTCGTATTAAGTTACGAGTTGAGTAACGTAAGCGCAAAGCGTGACTGCTTTTGCCGCCCTGGCAGAATATCCTCTCTTGTTTAAACACATTTGTATACAGTCCATAACGCAGTAGTTGGAACATTGCTGGGTTTCCGTGCACTTGTTTGGTGTGAGGATGAATTAACAGGTTTGCGGCGCTTGGGTAGCTCCAGTGTTGGTTGACCGATTTCTTGAATTAGTATGGAAAACCACGTTCTGGCCGACCAGTAGGGCCGACCAAAGTGAGTTGTAGGCTCTGTGTTTGTCTGATTTTCTGTAATACTTGAGGTATTATTGCTGGCGGGCGGAAACGCTGACGCATTGAGGCCTTCCCATGATAGACTTAGAGCGTCCGTTGCCCAAGCTTGGGGTCTGGGACTGGTGACACGAATGTCAGTAGCTGATTGTTGAATCGCGTGGCGAATAGGTCTATTAGCGGCTCCCTAATTGCTTGATTATCTGTGCAAAATTTCCCCTGTTGATCATCCACTCTGTCGGTGATGGTAGATGAGGCCGAGAGAGCGTCTGCTAGTATATTTCTGGCTCCGGGAATGTGCACTGCTCTCTGACATGTAGATTTAGATCTTGTATTAAATCGAACAGTTGAAAGCTTAGGTTCAAAAGTTCATCGATCTCGTTGAGCCTTGCTTGTTTATGTAGAACGCCACTGTCGAATTGTCTGTATGGATCATTAGGCTGCATTTTGTAGAAATGTGCTCCAATGTAGAATGGCGTTGATTACAGCTTTCATTTCTAGACTGTTTATATGGAGTTTGCATTCTTGCTGATTCCATAACCCTGATATCGTGTGGTTGGTGAGATGAGCTCCCCAACCTTGGAGTGACGCGTCTACATACAGATGGGTTTTGTATTCCTGCTCTGCTAAACAAATCCCTTCGCAGACATTCGATTTCTTGGTCCACCATAGTAGATGTGGTCTGAGATGTTTCGGTAGACTGAATGGTTGTACATCGTTGAGATGTGCGTTGATGAGGACCTGTAGGGGCGTAACTGTAATCTGCCTGTGACAGTCATGTCTTGGGCTGATGTGAGAAGACCTAGTAGGCTCTGCCATTGACGCGAGAGTGGTAACGGAGAGAGTAGAGCTGGTGGAATGGTCTGTTGTATCTTGAGCCAACGGTCTTCTGGTACCATAATACGGTTGCGATTTGTGATGAATCGAATACCTAGGAACTGTAGGTCTTGGCGATGGTACTAGGTCCGACTTATGTAAGTTTACTAACCAACCTAGTTGTGTTAGTAGCTTTATGATGTAATTTAACTGTAGTTTGAGACGCGGTGGATCTTGATCTACTTGTATCCCGTCGTCGAGGTAAAACGCACTGCGTAGCCCTTTGACGATGTAGAAATTTGATAATCGGTTTCGTTATCCTCGTGAAATAGCCAGGGGCTGATGATATTCGAATGGGAGTACTTTCCACTGGTAATGTAGCCCTTCTAGAGTAAATCGTAGGTATTTCCTGGAATCGGGATGAATGGGGATGTGCAAGTAGGCATCCTGTAGATCTATGCTGCCCATGTAGTCCATAGGACCGAATCATCTGGCGTAACTGAGGTAAATGTATCATCGCGAAACCGGTGGTTTGGCGTAGATAGTTCTTGTTGAAAAAGCTCATGTTGTAGATGAGTCTGTATTTCTCCGTGGAGTTTTTCTTGGGAACTAGGAAAACTGGGGAGTAGAAACCTGGTTCGACGCTTGCTTGATCTATTACTTCTATGGCCTGCTTGGATAGGAGTGATGAAACAGCCTCTTTATCTTTGGTAGTTGTTGCGCTTGTAAATCCGAACTTGGGGGTTTGATTGTCAGCGAGGCTTGGCCTGTAGAGGGATACGAAACCGTGTTGAATAATGTTGGAGGCGTAAGGATCTTGCAGTATTCCCCAGTTTTCCCAGTGTAGTTGGAGGCGCCCACCCACTTGAGCTGGTTGTACTGGAACGGCTGGGGATGGAAGACTCCAGTCGTTCGAACCTGTGTTCCAGCGCCTATAATTGGGGAACCTCTGGGTGTCCTGCCTCTTCCTGATCCTCCTCTATAGTTGCCATATGGGCTTACGAAAAGAATCTTTACCTCTAGAGCTGGCTATCTTCCTGTCTCTTGCTCTTTGTAGGCCCGTGAACTTAGATCTGCCTGAGTATCTTTGTGAAGTCTGACGAATGACGCTGGCTAGTGTGTCCATCGATCTAATCATAAGGACTTCCTGGAATCCTTAGAGACTTCCTTTGGCGACCTTGTCGATTTCTCCGTCAAAGATGGATGTTGTCGACCACGGGGGCTGTATAAAGTGGGGCTGTAAAGTTCTCCCCAATTACAGGAGGCGAGGAGGCCTTGACGACGAAGCTAAGGTCAGTGCTGCTGAAACAGATGTAAGATGATCCGTTAAAAACTGCTGATCTTTCTTTTGCATAAGTAAGGCAGAATAAATCATTCTATCATCTTCCGTCGTGGAATCCCGGAATCTAGTAATAAGAGTCTCATTGATCGTCCTAAATCTATTTAACCCAAAGAACATACGTCTCGTCATGGTTTCTATATGAGCCAACTTATGATCATCCATCTTGTAAATCTTGTTCTTTACATCGCTGATGATCTTATAGTTCTCATCGATGTCCTGGGCCTTGTAGAAGGAGTCCATGTTATCGTGGAGAACTTCTTGGCTTGAAAGTTGGGCAGATGTGGTATCTGAACTTTCGTGAGCTTTCTGGAAAGCTGCATCTAGATTCTGTGGCACTGCCGCAATCGGTCGATCGGGGGTAGAGTGATTGCATCTGGATCATCTTCCTTCATCAAATACGTCCTGAGCTGTATTGCCACTTTTAGATGGTGATGTGAGATCTAGGTTATTGACCATCCAATACCGTATTCTGCATCAGAAAATATGATTCCTCCATCATCCTCAAACCATCATCATTAATAAATTGTAGATGCTCTTCGACCGCGTGTAGCTGTCTGTATATCTGATGAGGTTTGTGGCGATCTAGTTGACTTGTCGCCGCTCTATGTGGAGATCTGATGGGTGATCGACCTGGTGATGAACGGAGTGGAGATCGCCTATGGGATGATCTTCGGAGACTTGTGAGGTGAATGTTGATAGCTTCGAAGCTCTTTCGGCAGTCCCTCGATGTTCTTCTAGATGATGAAGATCTGGAATCATATGTCCTTCGCGAATGCCTTCGCTAAGCTTCATTTGCGTCCGTCCGGGGATCGATGATATGACCTTCGAAGGCTTCCGTGATGTCTGATGGTCTGAGTCCATATCTAGAGATGAAATCGAAGATGGTGATGATCTCTCCCGCCAGCCAAGGCCTTCGCCGAAGGCTGTACATCTAGGTCCTTCGTCCAAGGTGGTGCGGGACTTCCTTCGCGAAGGTGACATCGCCTTGGCTGCTACGCTGACGGGGGTGCCTCTGGGGTGCTGTTCACGTTGGAGCCTTCGCGAAGCTTGCTCGGACCCTGCTTGCGCGGTTTGTAGTGGTCCTCCATGATGTTCATAATCTGCCGCATCATGTCTTCTGGGATGATCTGTGACGAAGTCGCCGGCGCCTTTTCTGCGATGAGGTTCACATCAATGACGCCTGACGCCGGTGTAGAGGCATCAGGCTGCATGGAGATCTCTGCAGAAGTCACAGTGGCTGACACCGGTCGCTTCTTCTGCCGTAAGTCGGGATGATTATCGGCTGATCATCGTAGAGGCCCAACTCTGCTGCTGGAACGATCTCGGCTGAGAAAGTTCTTGCTGTCTTCGTGATTTCCTTTGGAAGTCTGCGCTGCCCTGGTGTCCTCAATCTGCGTTGAGACGACGATGAGGCCCTCTTAGACTTAGTCTGCAATGACGGGATGTCTGGGGAGGCCGGTCGCTTCTTCGAGGTAACGGACTGCGTCCCCACGCCCTCTGCCGCAGGGGTCTCTAGCAGAACACCAGACGGAGAGGGTCGATCGCTAGCAGCTGACTGGAAGGAATATCTGGACTCTCTGCCATGTTTTGCCCTTGTTTGCGTGGATCTATCTGCAGCACGCCTTAAGACGCAAAGATGATATTTATTAAATGCAGAATGAGATAAATTAATGCAGTAACTGCAACGTGAATTAAACGCACACGGCGTGAGAACAACTAGGGCATATTACATGTGGATCGGAGGCAGAAAAAGCGTAATCTACAAATCGTATTGATTTTCATGAACGTAAAGTTAGCTGAACAATCACGAATACACGTGAATAAACAGTAGAAATACGATAATTAATCAATACAAATAATAAAGGATACTAGCTATACCTCTATAGTAACCTATGAGAGGTAAAAACTAAGAGATTATCAAAGGATATGTGTGTAAGGAGACACAAGGCGCTCTCACATCCTGCTCACTGGGCGAAGAAGGAGAGAGTGAAGCACATGGCCAGAGGGTGGCGACACCTTTTCCCGCCAGGGGAGACAAAGGGGAGCAACTCGTGGTGAGTACCAATTAGTGATTTTATTTTGAAGGGAGCTTCAATTAAGGAGATACAAGTGTTCCACTATGTTCGCAAGAAGAAGAAGACAAGCAAAAGAGCATGAGTCAGGATAAGGAAAAATAATAATGTACTTATAAAGCGCCTAATATCCACCATAGAGATGCTCAGTGGCAATCAATGACTACTGTGCGTCAAACAAAGGAAAGAGCTTCCAAACTTATTCAGACTTTGACCAAATTAGGAAAGATCTGTTGTAAGTACAATAAATCACACATGGAGCAGATTACTATTGACATTTCACTGTGATCATTAAAATCGAATAAAACATAAATCAAGTTCCATTTTCATGAAAATCAATTTCAGTCCTTCCACACCGGAAGAATAGAGAAGGATACTAATTTTTCTGTTCTTCATCATTCTTCATCTGAAAGTTAAGCAAATACAGAAAATAAGAGAGAAACCTGACAAACCTGGGACAAAATCGAGAATACTCTTTCTTTATCACAGGACATGCTGCCTGTGCATATGTGCATTTAACATGAGGCATAGTTCAGGTGAGGCGAGGTGAGGTGAAATTGGGTTTAACGTCATGCTTGAGAATATTTCGCTCATATGACGACGTGCATGCGTGTGTGTATGTGTATGTGGAATGAAGCTTGTTTTATAGTGCTAGCCAACTGAGATACCATGCTGCAGTGAAGCATGAATACCCCACTCAGACACATTATACTGACTCTGAGCCGACCAGTCCTTGTTGTACCCATTCATGCCGAGCGCCACGCAGGGACCAACAAGTACCATATTTTAACGTCTTTTGGTATGACGCGGAAGGGGATTGAACCCGCATCCTTCCGCTCTCCGGGCGGACGGTCTAACCACTGCACCACAGAGTTCAGTGCTTAGGGAGAGAACAGCGACTCAAGGGTAGAGATTTACTTAAATTGTACTGATAAACAACGTATAGCAAGAAGTAGGACCACACAGTACTGCCAGTGTGCTGCTATACAGCAATAAGCTTTTAAACACGGTTTTCATACAAGCTGCAAACCCATGAACTCACACAGAGCGGTCTTGATTGTTCAGATATAACAGATAACAGTAATACTTTAACAACTATGTTGCTGCTTATGATACAGAAAAACACTTTAACTTGCCTCATTTGTAAGTGATGCTATTTTCTCCTGTAACCTGACACATTCAGCCTGAAAAGAAGCAAGTTTCACGTTATTATTAGTGCATGATGCAACACAATATGTATTGTGAAACAACACAACACAATATCTAAAAAATACAAAGAATATATTGAATATGAGCCAGCGACTGCACATGACCTAATACAGATATGTATCCAGTATTCAAGGCTGCTACCTGTGATGATGCCAGTATTCACATCCCCTACCTGTGATGATGCCAGTATTCACATCCCCTACCTGTGATGCTGCCGGTATTCACATCCCCTACCAGTGATGCTGCCAGTATTCACATCCCCTACCTGTGATGCAGCCAGTATTCACATCCCCTACCTGTGATGCTGCCAGTATTCACATCCCCTACCTGTGATGCTGCCAGTATTCACATCCCCTACCTGTGATGCAGCCAGTATTCACATCCCCAACCTGTGATGCTGCCAGTATTCACATCCCCTACCTGTGATGCTGCCGGTATTCACATCCCCTACCTGTGATGCAGCCAGTATTCACATCCCCTACCTGTGATGCAGCCAGTATTCACGTCCCCTACCTGTGATGTAGCCAGTATATTGAATATGAGCCAGTGACTGCACATGACCTAATACAGATATGTATCCAGTATTCAAGGCTGCTACCTGTGATGTAGCCAGTATTCACATCCACTACCTGTGATGCAGCCAGTATTCACATCCCCTACCTGTGATGCAGCCAGTATTCACATCCCATACCTGTGATGCAGCCAGTACTCACATCCCCTACCTGTGATGCAGCCAGTATTCACATCCCCTACCTGTGATGCTGCCAGTATTCACATCCCCTACCTGTGATGCAGCCAGCATTCACATCCCCTACCTGTGATGATGCCAGTATTCACATCCCCTACCTGTGATGCTGCCAGTATTCACATCCCCTACCTGTGATGCCAGTATTCACATCCCCTACCTGTGATGCAGCCAGTATTCACATCCCCTACCTGTGATGCTCCCAGTATTCACATCCCCTACCTGTGATCCAGCCAGTATTCACATCCCCTACCTGTGATGCAGCCAGCATTCACATCCCCTACCTGTGATGCAGCCAGCATTCACATCCCCAACCTGTGATGTAGCCAGTATTCACATCCCCTACCTGTGATGTAGCCAGTATTCACATCCCCTACCTGTGATGCAGCCAGTATTCACATCCCCTACCTGTGATGCACCCAGTATTTACATCCCCTACCTGTGATGCACCCAGTATTCACATCCCCTACCTGTGATGCAGCCAGTATTCACATCCCCTATCTGTGATGCAGCCAGTATTCACATCCCCTACCTGTGATGCAGCCAGTATTCACATCCCCTTCTTGTGATGCACCCAGTATTCACATCCCCTACCTGTGATGCACCCAGTATTCACATCCCCTACCTGTGATGCAGCCAGTATTCACATCCCCTATCTGTGATGCAGCCAGTATTCACGTCCCCTACCTGTGATGCAGCCAGGTTGTTGCGAGCCTCCTGCAGCTCCTCCTGGGCACGCTCTTGCTGCTCACTCATATATTCCATGCTGTCTTGTACGACTGACATCTGCAACATACAGAAACATAAACACAATCTTAGAAAGTACAGTCAAACAATGAAATATAAGACCAATGTGAGGTACAACTGATACACGACGGATGCTTTCACCACAGAAACCTGTCTCACCTCCACATCAAACTTGACCTTCATGGTGGCAGCGTCCTCATGCAGCTGAAGCACCTGTTCCTCCAGTGAAGCCAGGTGTTGGACCTGCTTGCTGTGGGCGGCCAGGAGGATGTCGTGCTGCTGTGTCTTGTTCGTCAGCTTGGACTCCAGCGTCAGCTGCTCCTCCTTTTGGCTGCTCAGCTTCGTCTTCTGCTCCTGGATGGTGTTCCACAGACTGGCCACTGATGCCTGGTGTCAACCGAATCAAACTGTACATTTTACTGTGTATTATGAATTCAAGACTTTGGCTACAAATTTCTGTTTAGGTAACTACAACCCTGGAACAAAACATGTCTCAGAAATATATCAAACTTCAGTTTTGATTCCTTCCCGAGATAAGTCACCTGAAGGAGCTACTGGAGACAGCACAGACAACCTCCTCACCCGATCTTTGGCCAGCTCCTTCTCCAGTGTTGCGTTGGTGGCGGTGGACTTGTCCAGCTCCTGTTTGAGGAGGTCCTCGGTGTTGTGGTGGGCGTCACACTCGTTCTGCAGGAGAGTGGCAGCAGATTTCAGGTTGTTGATCTCATCCAGGAAGCTCCCCACCTGCTGCTCCTGACTGGCAGAGTCGGTTATCATCTGAGCCCGCAGCGTCTCCAAGTCACAGTCCTTCTGCTCTAGCTGGTCCTCCAGGCTCTGATAATGTAACAATGTGGCTGATAATGCTCCAATCTCTCAGGTCATAGTAATGAAACTGATTTACTATATTTTATACTGTGTTTTCCACTCACCTACAACTTAACTGCTATGACACATGACAAAATAATTTGTGTAAAAATGTAAGTCACAACAGATTTTATGGGACAGGATCTTGTAAGTATTTTGTCCTTATGTAACATTATCTCTACCTTGTCACATGTATGGCATGGAAGAAACTGAATTTAATGCAGATTTGTCAAATATTTCAGCTCTATCACAGCATGTCGACGAATGCGGGAGGAAAAGGCTACACGTCTTGGGGTTCATAGTGAGACATCCGAGCAACTGCATGTAGGAGACACCTGGTAACAGGCTCATGGCATAACTGGAATTCTTTTCATTGGTTCTTTCAAAATAGTTTTTCTCATTACAGTACCCACATCTACCTGAATCGCGGCACCCACTAACCCAGCCCAACTGAATCTCATCAGCAACAAACCTATCCTACCTGAATCTCGGCACCAACAAACCCGTCCTACCTGAATCTCGGCAGCAACAGACCGATCATACCTGAATCTCGGCAGCAACAGACCTATCCTACCTGAATCTCATCAGCAACAGACCTATCCTACCTGAATCTCATCAGCAACAGACCTATCCTACCTGAATCTCATCAGCAACAGACCTATCCTACCTGAATCTCATCAGCAACAGACCTATCCTACCTGAATCTCATCAGCAACAGACCTATCCTACCTGAATTTCGGCAGCAACAAACCCATCCTACCTGAATCTCATCAGCAACAGACCCATCCTACCTGAATCTCATCAGCAACAGACCCATCATACCTGAATCTCATCAGCAACAGACCTATCCTACCTGAATCTCGGCAGCCACTAACCCAACATACCTGAATCTTGGCACGCACAAACCCATCCTACCTGAATCTCATCAGCAACAAACCTATCCTACCTGAATCTCGGCACCAACAGACCCATCCTACCTGAATCTCATCAGCAACAAACCTGTCCTACCTGAATCTCGGCAGCAACAAATCCGACCAACCTGAATCTCGGCAGCAATAAACCCGTCCTACCTGAATCTCGACAGCAACAAACCTGTCCTACCTGAATCTCGGCAGCAAACAACCCGTCCTACCTGAATTTCGGCAGCAACAAACCCGTCCTACCTGAATCTCATCAGCAACAGACCCATCATACCTGAATCTCATCAGCAACAGACCTATCCTACCTGAATCTCATCAGCAACAGACCTATCCTACCTGAATCTCGGCAGCAACAAACCTATCCTACCTGAATCTCATCAGCAACAAACCTATCCTACCTGAATCTCGGCAGCAACAAACCCGACCAACCTGAATCTCGGCAGCAACAAACCCGTCCTACCTGAATCTCGACAGCAACAAACCTGTCCAACCTGAATCTCGGCAGCAATAAACCCGTCCTACCTGAATCTCGGCAGCAACAGACCCATCCTACCTGAATCTCGGCAGCAACAGACCTATCCTACCTGAATCTCATCAGCAACAGACCTATCCTACCTGAATCTCATCAGCAACAGACCTATCCTACCTGAATCTCGGCAGCAACAAACCCGTCCTACCTGAATCTCATCAGCAACAAACCCGTCCTACCTGAATCTCATCAGCAACAAACCTGTCCTACCTGAATCTCGGCAGCAATAAACCCGTCCTACCTGAATCTCGGCAGCAACAAACCCGTCCTACCTGAATCTCATCAGCAACAAACCCGTCCTACCTGAATCTCGGCAGCAATAAACCCGTCCTACCTGAATCTCGGCAGCAAACAACCCGTCCTACCTGAATCTCGGCAGCAACAAATCCAACCTACCTGAATGGTGGAACCCACAAATTCCACCTTCTTGAATCTCGGCAGCAACAAACCCATAACCTTGACCTACCTGTATCATGGCCTGCAGCTTGTTCTGCTTCTCCATCCCTTCCTTATTCTTGTCTTCCAGTTCCTTGATGCAGCTCTCCTGGAACTCCACTGTCAGCTGTTTGTTCTCTATGTTTTCCTGTCACGAATTTAGGAAAATTGTCATGGCCCCATAAAACTTACCAGAGGCCCAGATAAGCTGCGTATCCGGGTAAAATACGCATAGAAAATTTCCAATTACGCATTGAAAAATAATTGTTGTGTACCAATTACGCGTTTAAAATGTTAGATACGCAAAAAGTTTAAAACAAATGTGTACGGAATATATTTATAAAAATCCCTTGCGTAATGAAAAAGACATCGATTGCTATCAAGTTGTACTGTTGGTATAGGACTAGTGTTGTACTGTCAGTATAGGATGAGTGATGTTTTATTAAATCATTTCCATTATATTTAAGTTGGTTTTGATTAGGTATGACATAAGGCAGAACATACCTGCTTAGTAAACTTACTCAATGACATAATACTTAGGTGAGTAAAATGACTGAAATACGCACATATTTGAAAGCAGTGGGTAACGGAAAAATGAAATACCCACTCAACATTCATAATACTCACTCCAATAAAATACAGTGGGTACAGTACCCACATGAGCTAAATCTTATCTGGAGATCTGACTTACATTAAAATTCTGCCACAACCTGGGGTAAAATATATTTTTTCAGTATTTACTGGAACAAAAGTAACCAAATCGACCCAACACCAAACATTTTTTTTTCTAAGTTTGTCTACTTTCAACATGCAATCCATTTTCACCAAACGTTTCTCATTTTCCTTGAAGTTGAAAGAGTGAGTGAGTGAGTGAATTTAGTTTAGTTTTACGCCGCAATCAGCAATATTCCAGTCATGTGGCAGCGGTCTGTAAATAATCAAGTCTGGACCAGACAATCCAGTGATCAACAGCATGAGCATCAATGTATGCAACCAGGAACCGATGACATGTGTCAACAAAGTCAGCGAGCCTGACCACCCGATCCCGTTAGTCGCCTCTTACGACTAGCATGGGTTACTGAAGGTTAATTCTAACCCTGACCTTCACGGGTATGAAGTTGAAAGAATAATTACGCAAACTATTGTTGTAAAACTGATGCATTCAACATTTTTTCACTTTTTAAATGACACTTAGCCCTTACCGAGGCCATGTCCAAGTCTTTGCTGAGTCCCTCATTCACCTTCCGGACCTTCTCAAACTCCATCGACATCTTCATTAACTGAAACACAACAAGTCACGCAAATCCTTACTGGGAAACTGCACTGGCTCTGTGGCATCATGAGCATTAACTGACTGACTGACTTAGGTTTTACACCGCTTTTAGCAATATTCCAGCAACATCACGGCAGGGGACACCAGAAATGGGCTTCACACATTGTACCCATGTGGGGACTCGAACCCGGGTCTTCGGCGTGATGAGCCAACGCTTTAACCACTAGGCTACCCCACCGCCCCCATGAGTATTAACTTGCGGGTTGATAATGTGGCGCTTTTCAAATGGACTAAGTAATATTACAATAAGTTACTGTGGCATACTGTGTGGGGTGGACCTATGTTGTCAGTGACGGTGAGGACAACCTACCTGTGTCTCCAGCGTAGTGATGGTCTTCTGCCTCAACTCCTCCACGTCTCGCTCCTTCTTCTCCATGTCGGCCTTCTCCTTGTCCACCCACTTGATCATGACACGCAGGTCGGACGCTTCCTCGCCATTCACTGTCACACAGACAAACATGTCAGCCTTGTAGAACTCATTTTTTGTAAAATACATCATTTAATTTGTCGGGTTTACACGAATGATATCACTGAACACTGTACCAAAAGCTGAGTCTCTAGTCTGAAGAGTGAGTGAGTGAGTGAGTGAGTGAGTGAGTGAGTGAGTGAGTGAGTGAGTGAGTGAGTGAGTGAGTGAGTGAGTGAGTGAGTGAGTGAGTGAGTGAGTGAGTGAGTGAGCAAGCGAGCATGAATTTTTAGCCATATCGGCAGTGTTTCAGCCATATCATGACTGTAGAAAGGTTATGTTTAAGCAATACATATATTATTATATAAAAACTTGTCTATATAGGACTGAAACAAAATTTTAAAAATTAATAATAACTGAAAAAAGATTAATATTTAAACAATATCACTATGTGTAACAGACCCTGACCTTAGACTTACTTATGAAACAACTCTTTGACTCTTGACCATTAACTTATCACAATTCCTTAACAATATGACTTTACCCTTCGACTTTCAGAATGACTCAGAACTGACCTTCACACGTTCAGTAATAACTAACTTTCATCAATGATCATCCTGTCCACTTAAACATAATTGACCATCACAACATCAACAATAACTCTCTGATACCCTAGCACAATGACCAACTTTACCCCTGGAGACATCCCCAACCTTAACCTGATACCCTAGCACAATGACCAACTTTACCCCTGGAGACATCCCCAACCTTCACCTCGTCACTCAGTACTGACCTCGAGATGTTTCCCGTGTTTCTTCCAGTTCCTTCTTCATCTGGGTATTTGAGCTTTCATACTCCTCCACCTCGGTGGCTCTCTCACTCCGCTCCTTTTTCAAGATCTGACACACACGAAACATAAACATCACCAATCATCACACACACATTTCGTATCTACAAAACAGTTAAATCAACACGTTTGGGATGCTGTAATGGAGCAGGTTTAGAGCAGACTTTGTGTTCATTACTTCAGTAAAGCCCATGGCTAGAGGAATATTGTTTACCAGGCATTCTACAAGTTTAAGCAGACTACATAATGTACAACTTTATGGGTAAGAACGTTTGGTTAACTGCACCACTACAATGAACATTTCAATAAAGATTCTTAGACTGTTCTCAAGCTAGAATGAGTTGACTTCTTTCTGAAAATATTATTGTCAAATGAGGACAATGTTGATTGGTGCACTGGTGTTCTCCCCAGCAGATTGATCCTTACTACACTTACTTCATTGAGCTGTTCTATCTGACTCTCATACTTGAGGGTCTGTTGTCGGATTCTCATCATGTCACTCTCGTACTCCTCCAGACGCTCAGACAGCTTGTTGTTGCTCTCCTGGATCACAAACAAACATGGGGTGAGTGAGGGAGTCATGTCACTCCATCATAGTCACAAGTAACAATGACATACACAACAGCGGAACAAACGCCATTCACATGTATCTGACATCCTGATATCTGAAATAATCTGACACATCCTTGCCACCTTGTATTAAACAGATATTTGCACCCTGGTATTACCTGGAGCTGTTTTATTTCCCCGGTGAGTGCTTCATGTGCAGCCTCGTTCATGATCTCTGGGATGTCTTCCCCCAGTATCCCATCCTCCATCTCGATGGTCTGGTTAAGGTCAGGGGACACGGCCTTGACCTGGGATATGTCATGGATGGAACGATTACGCAGATTGTACCTGGATCTCTGAGGGGTGGTGATGGTCTGGTGAGGAGTAAAGTAACCATAGGTACTGGATTAGTCCTGAACATGGAGACACAATAATGTGCTGAATACTCATACACTAGAAAAACATATCAAACATGCTACTACATGAAGTGAGTGAGTTGGGTTTAATGCTACATTGTACACTATTCCTGTTATATCACAATTTGTCAGCTTGGCGTGGTTGTGACTAAGTGAGTTTAGCTTTACGCTGCACTAAGCAAATTTCCAGCTATATGGCGGCGGTCTGTAAATAAGCGAGTCTGGACCAGACAATCCAGTGATCAACAGCACGAGCATCAATCTACGCAGTTAGGAACCAATGACATGTGACAACCAAGTCAGCGAGCCTGACCACCCGATAAAATTAGTTGCCTCTTACGACAAGCATGGGTTTCTGAAGGCACATTCTAACCCGGACCTTCACGGGTCTTGGCCTGGTAGAAAAGCCTGAAGTGATGCAATCTTTGCTGCTCAAAAAAACATACAGCGGTAAGGACCATAAGGACCATAAGTTTGGATCATATTCTGGACCATCAGTGGATCCTGGTAGAGTGGGTTTTCACCTTGCACCATCATTTTTTAGCCATATAGTGATGGATGAATGTTTAAAGCATTCTGCCACCATGGCCCCAAAGCTTGACATGGAAGAAACCGTTTGACAGGACAGTTCCTACCTCTATAGTGCGAGTGTGGAGATCATTCAATGTCTTCTTCTCGTAATCATAATGGAGCTGTCGCATTTTTAGACTTCGCATAACTTCTTCATTCATCTGCTTGGCTGAACTAAGCTCCGCACCCAGGTCAATGATCTTCTTCTCTGATGTCTCTTTTGTCTCAGCTAGCGTAGCCTTCATCTGCAATATAACGTCACATTCATCAGATCAGGATAATTACTATATACTGAATTACTGGGTTTGGCTTTACGCCGCTTTTAGCAATATTCCAGCAACATCCCGGCGGGGGACACCAGAAATGGGCTTCACACAATGTACCCATGTGGGGATTTGAACCCGGGTTTTCTGATGTATGCCTCTTTGTAGTAGTGTCACCCAAGCCGGTTATGAACATCAACATAAGAGCTCCTGCACTAACCACTTCAATCTCCTTCTGTAGGTTGGCCACTTGAGACTTGTACTTCTCCAGGGTTGCCGTGGCAACAGTGCCACCAGCCTGGGGGGTGTTGTATGGGCTGGCTAGCTGCTTGGCAGGGTTCTCGTCATCTGAAACTACACACTGACCCAGTCACTACTAAATAAGTGAACATTTGTCGTAAAGACAGAGTAAGCAAAAACACTGATTTCATCACAATCAAGTAAAAAATAGAGGTAGGTTGATATGATGTGGTACAGGGTAGGCAGAGAGGTAGGATATTATCTGAACTGACATTTAATGAAACATTCCCAGCAAAGTTCTCATTCAGTTTTGTTTTATTTCACTCAAAAAACGATTTTCATACATTTCTATTTTGATTTCTATTATTTCTAACAGTAGATTAAGAGCTATAGAGGGATAGGTTATGAAATCTGAACATTTTAAACCAATATTCCAGCAATATTAACAGACGGGGGAAAAAAAGGTGGTAAAAATATCAGATAACATTTGTGTGTTAGTTTGTAAACCTTAGTGACTCTGGGCCTAATTCCACCTTAAACAGCACTTCAGTTATTTTGTAGAAGAAGATCAATGACTATTATTGAAGTATTCACCTTTTGACTTCTCGGCCATCAGTTCCTTAAACACCTTGTCGAGCTCCTCAATCCTGCGGTTGTCACTGATCACAGCCTGCCTGTAGTTGTCGTTATTCTTGAGCTGTTTCAGCTCAGCTCTCAGTTTCTGCAGCTCCACGTTCTGGCGGACAACCACAGGATGGCATTTGATCCTCTCTGTCAACACCTTCATCTCCTCCCTCAAGGACACCTGGGAGACAGGGGTGTAACAGTCAAAAAAACTACCTCAACCACAACAAACTGACAGCCAATGAAAATGTGTTTTTTTTGCATATGTTTCAGCTGTCATCATTATGGGTGGGTTGTTTCTTAGATGGTGGTCAGGTGGTGGTCAGGTGGAATGAGTTTGCAGTGAGACCAGTAATAGACTCATCACATTGTAACATGAAGGGAATTGAACCTGGACCTTTAGTGTGATGAGCAAACGCTTTAGCCTCACTGCCACCATGTATGTAGTAATATTTTAAGGGATACTATACTGGGAACACCAACGTTCATCTGTATGTAATGACTAATTCTACTCACAATCTGCTCGTTTTCCTTGGAGCTGTTGAGATCCTTGGCGTTCTCGCCATCTCCCCCTGCAAGCCTCGCCTTTAGCTGAGTGACCTCCTTCTTCAGGATCTCGATGTCCTTCTCACGGAACTTCATCACCATCTCTCGTGACTGGTTGAACTTGTCCCTCTTCTTGGCCACATCTTCAAGGTCCTTAATCATCTGCATCAAGTTCTGAAACAAGCAAAGTTTTTTAATCCATCAACCAATAAATTAATAAAAAACTTTCTGATTCCTACTTGGGATGAGAATTTCTAAAATGGACATTTCTGATGCACACTGGTCAAGTCACTTGAGACTTTATCTACAGTATAACACAATGAAATATCCCTTAACGCTATCTATCACCTTCTTTTCAGCTTCGGCCTTTTCTCGGAAGAACATTGATTCTATGAAGTTCTTCCTCCATTCTGAATCTCCTCCTGTTGTCATGGTAACTGGACCAGAGTCTGAAGCAGGAAGTTAGGAAAAGTGTTAAGAATATAGGCCATTAGTCTCTAAGTTGCATGGTCGCTGGCTTAATCATCAATCAGGTAGTACCAGGACTTTCTTACTTGAACTATCAACAGTCGCATTTGTCTAGACAGACATTCTGAAGCCATACTACAACAGTTATAAACAAGCGTCTGTGGAACTATCCGTGTCAAATCAAGACATTTAAAAGTACCTAACGTTCCTGCATCTTGTAGTACGATGGAATTACAACAAGGACTGTCAGGCTCGGAGTCTGAGTGGGGTATTCATGCTAAAACTCGGGCATAGTATCTTGAAGGAATATCAAATCAAAACCTTGATAACATGCACAATGAGACTATGGGACTACTATTAGTGAATGTGACAGTCCCCCACCTGATCCCCCCTGTACTGGGGGCAGTTCCCGCGGTGCCCCCTCCATCTGAAACTGTAACAACTGGTCCTTCAAGCGACGGATCTCAGCCTGTAGATGGAGGATATTGCCCTGGGTGTCTTCGTTCACCACTGCCTGGAATACACAGAGTTTCACTTTAAAGAGGGTCTGTGCACCGGGACCTGGGGCCTAATTCTAGCCACAGTCTGGATGTAGTTTGTGAGCTGTATGAAGCAGGGAATGTTTTAAATTCCATAAGAGTAATTGCAAAATTCTAGATTTATAAAAGTTTTAACATGGGAATTTACAGAGAAACAAAGAAGTCGTTGAATGTTTGAAACATATTTGTTTGGACTGCGTTATGTCCTCAGCACAATCTCACCTTCATCAACCTTAAGGTGACATATCATGTAGAGAACAGTCTACAGACAAAAGCAGCTGTCAGTAGGTAAAATTGGAAAAGCTTTTTCAAATACAATGAATGTAAACTTACCTGTTCACCTCTCAAATGGTTTACAACTACAAGTAATATGTTTAGTTCCCAATGGACTCAAATGTCAACCACACTTTTATCATTACTTGGTTTCTGATTTTTTAGGTAAGGTGAGTCAAATTACCAGAAATCATTAGGTGTTTTTTTTAGGTATGTTATTTTCCAAAATCCACAGTGTTAAAAGATGTGACAGTGTTAAAAGATGTGTTAAAAGAAGAAGTTCCAAAGAAAGAATTTGCCTTATGGACATGACCGATACACACAGGCTGCAGTCCTCAACTCACCTTGTTCTTGATCATCTTGGCTCGTCTGGCAAACTGTAGCGTTGACAAAGTCTCTCCAAAACACCTGGAAAGATATAGTCACAGTGTTTCAGTGTGTTTACATGCTGATACAATGTACAAAAATTGGAACTAAAACTTATTGTCAAGTTGCCCCCATATTCAGTTTGTCTCATTTTTCATCTTTCGTTGTAAGCTGTTTCCCATTGCTGACTTACTTAGATCCAGGATGTATACAGGCCACAATATGAGTCTTAGCATTGCCGCCAAGGGAATCCTGAAACAAGAGAATGTGAAATAATAGGGTTGTCAGTAGTCATAGCAACCAGTTCATAGAAAATTACCTCACTGATGTGGGTTTAAGCCTAACGTCCAGTCCATGCATAAAATAACACAGGAATAAAGATCTATTACTTAATGTTTGAGAAAAGCAGGCTTTTGTTTAGACCAAACTAACTAATGGCTAATTATATCTCAAGGTTGTTGAGGTTCAACAACTCACAAATCATTTAATCTGACCACAAAATCCATTTAGTCCAATAACCTTTGGTTGCTGGGATTCTAGCCCAGAATCCCCCCAAAGATTCCCAGACTTTCAAATCAAATCTCCAAATGAAATCCACGAATAACACACTGAAAGGCCTATTAAGCAAGCAATGACAGTTTTGTACCCTTAAGAGGAAGGTAAGCTTAGAGTCTCTGTATGGGACGTGTCGACTCTTGCCGTGAGCGATGTCCACAAGTGACATCATGACATTTCCCAGAGTTGACAGCGACTTGTTGATACATCCAGCCTCCTGTTGAAGACAAATCAGATGTTAAGTGAAACAATATCTAGCTCAGCACAAACTACATGTAAACGTATCAGACTTAACCCACAGACAGCTAAAAATATCTGCAAATATATATATTTTTTAAAATTCCAAATATTCACATGTCAACAAAATTAGGATTACCTAATAAAAGAGTATGTGGGTGGGTGGGTGGGTGAGTGAGTGAGTGAGTGGGTGGGGTTTCAGCAATATTCCAGCAATTTCATGGTGGGGGACACCAGAATCCTTATAAAAGAACCCTAACTATATCTTATATCTAATATAACAGGATAATCACAAAATGATGTTGAAAGAAAACATGGACTGATCCCCAGAGACAAATGTACAGTGCTGACAAACCATGTTTGAAACCAAGCGGCACAGTCTGGGTGGACTTTGAATTCAAACCAGCCCCCACCTGATCCCTGCACCCCTAACAGATGCAACTAAGTGAAATACAATGTCTTAAATGACACGGTTGCTCAGCCTATACCTGACCATACCTGTGGTTTAACCTCAACACTAGCCCTAATTACCTTGAGTCTCTGTCCTGCAGCGTTGGTGTCCTTCTGTCGTTCGGACCCAGCCAGGTCGACCAGGTTTAGCTGCGACATCCGCACGTTCTGAACACCTCCCTTTTGCTCCTACACAATGAAATCAAACACAACAATGTCCTCATGTTCAAAAGCTCTTTTGATGTGTTTGTGAATGAACCTGAGTTCAAAATCACATCTTTTGATTATATTGATTATGTCTTCTCTGGGTGTGTTAGAATAAATAAATAATAAAAAGAATTTAATGAAAATATGTGATCCAGCAACAACAATCATGGTGATGCTTCCTGAGTTCATCACATCTCTCACTTCAGAGTGAGTGAGTGAGTTGGGAGTTGAGAAAAGAAGTGAATTACTAACATGTGAGTATGAAGGACAAGCAAATTGGAAATTTTAACTATAAATTGTATATTTATATACTTATCCTATCTCACGATTTGTACTTCTCTCTCTTGCTTCGACGCTGAGTGGAACGAATGAGAACTTTCCCTGTAGGCCTCTCTTGTCCATACGCCTGTGTTCCCCAGGCTGCTTTTCTTATAGGACAGGTCCCTAGTCCCATGCTGAGCATGCAGCACGCTCCCCTATCTACCTACGTGACTACCTCAGAGTGATCATTCTCTTCTTGGAGCTACTGCCGTAATCTGAGTAGCGGGGAGGCTGGGTGGGCATACATTGTGTGACATAGGATAAGTATATATAAATATACAATTAACAGTTAAAATTTCCAAATTTTTTAAACTTATCATATCTCACGATTTGCACTTATCCCACGGTTGGATGGCGGGTCAATGATTACCCTAAGTCAAAAAGCACTGACAGTATAAACTGTACAGGCTAATGACAACTGTAGACAGCAATGAACAAGGGAGGCCGGATCCGACTAGCATAGTACCTATACTAGTGATGGGTTCTGCTGAACCCCTTGGCTTACTAGGCACAATCGCTCCCAAGGAGTGGGTGCTCCCGAGTGATTTGGTGTTCGGCCGCAACCCTCGCATACGCAAGGGGACGCAACTAGGCAAGTCACCTAACTTCGTAACGATTTATCAGAGTACCCCCGTAATTAAAGTAGTAACTAGTAGACTAGTAATCGGGCCCACACCTGCTTTGAGACAGCTCCCCAGACCCCATCACGAAGAGGGGAAAAGGAAACTGAATCAGAAAACTCACAAGTTTAACGTTCAGTACCATAACAATACCACATGACTTCCACTACTTACCACAGTAAGACCACAACGGTGTGCTAAGGTACTTAGGAGCTAGAACGCTACGAAATCCACAAAGGAAATCGGGAAGGACTCACTACAGTGACGTGATTGCTCTGTGGAGTATAGGTCAGCAAGCGAGATTGTCGAAAACTTCTACATCGCAAATACGAGAACTAACCACTGTAGATCCGTATAGACACTAATTGCAATAACCCAATAAAATTGAGTGAAGAGTTCTAATCCCAGAAGAATCGAGAACAAAAATCAGAAATAGAATTCAGAATTTTATTCAGTATGTACACGAATGTGAGCGAATGCATAGGTGCACATTGTACTCATTTGCATTGATGGACCGACGACAGCTGCTGGGCCAAGACAAGGGGTCCAAACTGGTGCAGACCCTGGATGTCAGTGACCAATAAGTCCCTCAGATAATGTGAGGAAAACACTGTATCCGAACGCCAAAAGCAACCCTCCATGATGGCCGTCAGGGAACAGTTGCTGTGTAAATCCATCGTAGAGGCTAAGGCCCGGGTCTCATGTGGATTGGATGCTGTTGGGGGTGGCAGTCCAGCAGAGGCGTAAGCCCTCAGTATGGTAGCATGCATCCAAAAGGACAAAGTTGTCCATGAGACCTCAGCTTTCGATGTAGTAGACAGCTTAGTGATCTGGTTCAGAATGGTGAGCCAGAACCTTGATGTGATCTGGATCAGTCCGTGATCTGGATCGGTGCTGTGATTTGGATCGGTTCGATAATCCGAATGTTTCGATGATCTCAGCCGATGGAGAGATCTAGAATGAGCAGATGAACCGGTTCAGCGAGGTGAAATTTAACCAAACCTGAAGAGGTTTTAAATTCTTCTGTTGAAGAGAGTCGTCCTTGGGTAAAAGCGCATATTATGCATTTTCCAAGCTGAAAATGTCCCTGAAGTGACAGTTGTATCAATGTTTTTGAATAAAAAGATTGTACAATAAATAAACTCTTTTATTTATTATAATGCCCCCACCTCACGGAGTTACCTCCCGCTATGCATGCGCACTAACTGGGTAAGCACCTAGGCCCGTGATCATCATTCCTTCTGCTGAATACATCAGTGAACAGAATTGCGGGAGGCGGGAGGTTCCTACCCTCAAGGATCGACTCTCTTCGAAGAATTTAAAACCTCTTCAGGTTTGGTTAATTCTTCTTCATAGAGATCGTCCTTGGGGTACATATTATGCATAAACACAGACTCCCAAAGACCGGAGGCCAGGGAGGAGGGAATTCTGTCCAAGCACACACAAATAGCTATCGTTAATGGGAAAAAATTTAACAGACGCCATAACACTCACCTGTCACATGTCCCAGTTTCGCTTCCGCGAGAGGCATTATGGGAGGGGAACTGACAGGGAGGATTTGTGCTCAAAGACGACCTCCATATGTTAGCATAGGCAATCGCACATGGTACTTAATGTCAACAAAGCCCCACCCACCACGCGGTCGATTAGTGAGCACCGTGAGGGGAATGTCAAAACCGCTCACAATCGACTAATTACTCCTGAGAGAATCGAAAGGGGGTAGTTAGCTCCTAGTAGCGGATATGTCAATAACACACATTATTGTACAGCAGCCTCAATAAACAAACCAATAAACCAAGACTCACTCGGTCAGGGTGGCAGGACACTGTCCACTGGAGAGAACAGAACGGCCAAAGCTCGCACGATTACGGGAATGTGTATCGAGCTGATAGTGCCGTATAAACGTGCTTGGCCGGCTCCAAATAGCGCAGAGCAGATCTCTTCAATGGGGAGTGCCGATGCAAAGCTTTGATGCTGCTACTGCCCTGACCGAAAGTGAGCCTTCAACCCCTCAGGGGAGGCTTGCCCTTAGCCTGATAAGCCGCACAAATACATCGAAACAAGCCAGCGAGACAAAGTCTGCTTGCTCGCTGGCACACCAGCCTTCCCGCCACCGTAACAACAGAACAGCTGGGTACCCGCACGGATTCCCCGCGCTCGCTTGATATAGACTTTGAGTGTCTTACGGACATCCAACGGGTGAGTGCTCGTAGGGAGAGGTCCCCGATGTGGAAGGCTGGGTAAGAGTGGGAAGTTCGATAGGAGCTGTCACATGGAAAGCGTGGATCGACCTTCGGGCGGTAAGTATCCGGGAGGCTTAATACTGACACGATCAGTGTGAAACACAGTCAGCTGGGTCGGACGACATAGCATGTAAATCGCCGACCTCTACGCCCAGATGTTACCGCCACCAGAAAACAGCCTTCCAAGCTAACAACTGAATGGAAATAGCCGATAGGTGTGAGAAAGTTGGACCGACAGCCAATCTAGCACAATTGACAAATCCCAAGGTGGACTGGTTCGCTTGAGAGCAGGTCGAACCCGCTCCGCCCAGCGAGAAAGCTGCTGTGAGAGAGTGCTGCCCCAGAAGAGCACCATCGACAGGGCTGTGAAAAGTGGAAATAGCGTGGAGTAGCCACGAATGGTCGGCCGCCAGGCCTTCTTCCAAACGAGCTTGCAAAACTCCAATACTGGACTAAATCCGCAGAAAAGGGATCTGCAATCCCCTATCTGAACACCAGCGCGATATAGCGGGACCACCTATCCTCATACTGAACGCTTGTCTAATCCCACCGAAGCCAGAATTGTGTCTGCAACTGCTGCAGGAATTCCGCGCCTCGAGAGGCTAGACCTGACAGAGGCCAAGCCACCCACTGAATCCGCGGATTTGGGTGGGGTGCCCGCTCTGAGTGAGAATGTCCGGTCGTAAAGGTAATAGAACAGGAGGCTGAGCCAGAAACCTGAGAATTACCGAAACCAGCTCTGTGACGGCCAAAGCGTGCCAGTAGCACAAGCAGCCGAGCTGGCTGGGTGGACAGCTGTGAAAGGACACGGGAATGAGTGGTAACGGCGGAACGCCCAGAGCACTTTGCCCGGCCCAATCCAGCAGGAAGGCGCCGGCAGCCAACGCCCTGGGTCCGGGTATTCGAGAGCAGAACACGGGTGTCTGATTCGTCCCCGCCGACGCAAACAGATCCACCTGGAACGCACCCTGCATAACTGGGAGAGAACTCTGAATATCTGCCTGTCGAAAGCATCCACTGCAAGGGCCAGGATCCGGCGAGAGCCGCCTGCTCGCACGCTCTCCAGCCCCGGAGATAAACAGGGAGTACCTGACAATCGCACTGGTCGCACCAGAGGAGAAAGTCCCACGCCCCTGAAGAAGCTGGGGACACCGTGTCGCCTCTGCTTCAGGATGTACGACATGGCCGCCTGGTTGTCCAACTGAAGACGGACTACCTGGCCACGGACATGCTCTCTGAAGCGCCGAAACCAACCGCGACAGCTCTCAGTTCCAACACGCTGATGTGAAGGTGGGCTTCGCTTCGACCAGAGTCCGACACCGACAGACTGCCCAGAACACCCCCAGCCCGTGAGGGACGATCGGTCTGAACTGTGAGAGCTGGCGCCGGGATTTCCAAGGGGATCCCCTGGTGAGATTCCCCGACATTGGTCCACCACTGAAGGTGAGGTGTCAACCACCCGGGACTGTGAGACTGCGCCCAGGTCCTCCGTGTGTGAGCCCACAGCCTTGCCAAAGCTTGCTGTATAGGGCGATCCTCAACCGCTACCACCACACTACAGAGATCGCCGCCCATATGGCCCAGTAGACGGAGCCAAGTCCGCGCTGGTGCCTGGGGCTGGGAGAGGAACGAAGATACCATCCTCCGAACTCTGGTGATCCGGGTCGGGCGACAAGGAAACGAGATCCTTGTTTGTTTGAATCGCCCCAAGAAAACCAAGTCCTGGGTGGGTACCAGGTCGGATTTCTTGAGGTTGATGATCCACCCCAGTCGAATTAGAATGTCTATCACTGTGTGAGTAGCATCTAGACTTCGCTGGCTGTGTTAGTGCTCCGAGCAACCAGTCGCCGAGGTAAGGGTAACAACGCCTTCCTTGGCGAGCGAGCCAGGGTAGCCGGACTAACATGAGCTTGGTGAACACCCTTGGGGCAGTCGATATGCCGGCGGGAGCACCCTGAATTGGTAACACATCCCGTCGTAAGAGAACCGAAGGTACTGCTTGAACGATGGATGTATGGGCACATGCAGATACGCGATCCTTTAGGTCGATTGACGGAGCCAATCGCCGGGCTGAACAGATGAGATCACCGAAGCGCAGTGTTCCATCTTGAAGGATGGTACTTCTAGCATGCGGTTCAACCCCTTGAGGTTGAGAATGGGACGGAACCCGCCGTCTTTCTTCGGGACGAGGAAGTACGTGGAGTAAAATCCCGCCTGTTCCTCTCCCCGGTGGAATGCGCTCGATTGCGGACTTGTCCAGCAGAGCCTGAACTTCGTCGCGCAATATGTCCGCCCTTGCCTGACATGACGGCACCGGAGTGCGGCGTATGCCGGTGAAGTCGGGCGGACCTCGCTTCCACAGTGGTAAATGGCCTACACTGATGGTGGACAGCACCCAAGTGTTTTGTGTAGCCTTCTCCCATTCCGGCAGGAATAGAGAGAGGCGGCCTCCCACTGGGACGTCGGGTAAGAGCGCGTGCGTCGTCCCGAGTAGCGGAGCTGACTGGGCGTGACACACGGCTTGAACGACAGCCTGATGGGTTAACGGGAGGTCGGGGCAGACCTCCCGCGCCCGGAAAAGGCTGGGAGCTAGTCGAGGACTGCTCCTTGCCCTTACCCTTGGCGGACCTGTGCCTCCGCTTACCCCTGCCAAGCGGCCGAAGCCAGCCAGCAGACTCGGGTGTAGGCTGCACCCCAGCGGAGGAAGGTGGAACGGGAGCGCGGGGGCGAGACACCCGCGGGTGCTCCAACAAGGCCTTAGAGTCCTTGAAGGAGGTAGCTGCAGCGGCAGCCTCCCGTATGACCTGCTGTGCCCCTGGAAAGAGGGTCGCTCCCAGACGGAAGGGGAGGGCCAGCAAGGTCTGCTGTGTCGCTGCCGAGTAACGAGACGTCGACAGCCACAGCTTGCGATCCCCATGACTGCGCATTATCACCGCCGACGAGCGAGCGACCGCAAAGAGTCGCTGCGCGAGGTGGGCCTGTACTTCAGATAGCTGACGGAGCAGCACGACATGCGGCGAAACGCCACCAGCATGCCCCTCCGCCCAGGGCCGACCTCTGTCTGAATCGAGGAGAGGTAGGCCTCATGGACCACCACCCTGACCTGCTGCATAGCTGCTCCTGTAAACCTCCTCAGTGTAGTACGGCACGCATGCCGCAGGGGATGCCTGCCAGGGCAAACGGTGGAGTAACACGCCTTTGCCGAAAGCAGCCGGAGCTGCTCCGAGGAAGCCGAGCCTCCCCCGCTTACTGCGACGGAAGTAAAAACACACTCGGCCCACGATAGGTACCACGAACAGGGAATCCTCCCCAAGCTGGTATCTCCTGACAAGCTCCGGCAAGTCAAATCGGAGGCGAGAACCAGACAAGAGGGGATCCACCACGTCCTGTACTAACGAGGGCAGAATGCGGAGCTGCGTCTGCGTAGGGCTGCCTAGGGGCAACGCCGCCTGGCAAGCGAACTCAGCCGAAGTCCGAAGCTGCTAACAGGCACCGCGCCTGGGTAGGTACTCGCAATCCTTTGCCTGACCTCCCGCAGAGCCGAAGAGAAACGGAAGGCACCCTCCTGCTCCTCGACCTCCCCAGTATCCATCGACTCGGCGCCCGAGCCCGAGTCTGAGGCTGGGTCTCCTCGCGAAGAGGACCCGAACCCCGACCCGGTGGGCGGCCTAGCACTAGGAACAACAGAGAGGGAGGAGCAGACAGAGTGCCCCGCCAGTGCCTGCAGGCGCACGACCCCGGTCCCGGTGACGCTGGAGGCATACCAGGCAGAACTGGTGCCTCCGCCTCATGGGGCGGGAGGGCGCAGGGATCGGAACCCCAGGAATCATCAACGGTCCCTGCGCCAACTCCGAGAGGGGGACTGGGAGCACCTCCCTCTCCGGGGCAGCCGAGGCGTCCGGACCCGAAGCCAGAGGCAACGGGTCAACAGACGCCTCAAGGCCTAGGGATCGAGCCGGGCTCGGCGATCCCCCCCCAAGACTCTCCGCCCCACGCTCAGAGTGGGCGAGGAACTCCTGCCGGAGTCCTCCAACCGACTCATGAACGAGGGACCTCATCGAGTCTGCGTGCTGCTGAAACATCTGTGTGATTAAAGTCATGTCAAAACCGCTACCAGGAGCGGGAGCAGGGGACTGGCTTCGGGATTTTTTCCCTTTAGACTTTTTAGCCTTAGACGGGGGGACCTGGGTAAGTTCCCCTCCCGCCTCCCGCATCTCTCTATAAAAGAGAGTGTCGGCAGCCCTCCGCTTCTGAGCCCGGGGGGAAAACCCCATACAGATTTCACAGGTTTCGGCCTCATGGCCGGTCTTCTCTCTAGGCAGACAATACATTTGTCATGCCTGTCGGCCCGTGGAATACTTTGTCCACAGACCGAACAGGAGGAAAACGCCTGAAAGCAAACACGCAAGCATGTAGCTAACGGCGGACCAGCAGCATATATATACACGAGAAAACATTGAAAAATACGCGAAGGCTACCACGGAAGAAATAGTTGGTTCAATACGCAATATTACAACCACGCGGCACGCTTAAACTTCCCGCCATGGCAGAGCAACATGTGCGTAAAACCACGGAAAGTTAGCGTAAAATAATTAATACAAAGTCACAATTATGAAACAACCGACCGCAAAGCTTTACTGTTCCTTTGCAAAGGTAATAAAGACCATACATACAGGTGGTGTTCCAGACATTATTCTTTTCGCTCTGAAAAGGTCAGCTCTGCTCGACACATGCGCCTGTTAGGGCAGTGACAGCAGAAGGAATGATGATACGGGCCTAGGTGCTTACTCCAGTTGGTGCGCATGCTAACGGGAGGTAACTCCGTGAGGTGGGGGCCGATAATAAATAAAAGAGTTTATTTATTGTACAATCTTTTATTCAAAAACATTGATACAACTGTCACAGGACATTTTCAGCTTGGAAAATGCATAATATGTACCCCAAGGACGATCTCTATGAAGAAGAAAGTTTAAGTTTCTTTGACGTTTCAACTTTCTGCATTATTGCTCTCCTCTGAAAGCAAACTTTTACTTGGGAATATTTTATTAAGCCCCTCAGTTTCTCAGTACTGCAAGAGCACAATTTGATAACAATGATATAATAATGATCTTGCAATGTTTATGGTAAACATATTTGTGGACAAACCTTCGACTCTATGGCCAGGGTAAATACAGCGTGGCTCCTTGAACTCTCTCTGTTCATCGACGTAGCTGCGACCCTTCTGTTGATCCAGCCAGACGACAACACCTGCATGTCAACATGAAGGACTTACTTCATACTCAATCAGTTAGAAAAGACTTGCCATGTACATGTACTCAGTAAACAGGAAAGGACTAGGTACCAATTCAACATGTTTAATAAAGGACTCACACTGTACTGAATAGACTTTCTTCTTAGACAATTAACATTGCAGTTGTTGTGATTCACAACAGTGTTGGTTATGGTGTCATTCACAGATTGTTGTGAAACAGTAACAATCCAATTCAACAAATCTTCCTTCACAGCACAACTCTGATGTTTGAGCAAGCCTGCTTGGTTCTACCAATCAGAGGCTTCAGACACATCAAAGAGCATTACACAACAGTCACGGGAGTGGCCTTTGTTTTTAATTGGTTACATAATACCACAAGCTGGCGATAGATCAGGCTGAATTGAACTGAACTTGATTACTCTCAGGTCGTGGTCCACAGCATTAGAAGAACATATACATTTATAATACAAGTACAAGATACATTGGCATTCAGATTAAATGCTCTATTCAGAGGCTTAGAACCTGAGCAACAAATGTTTTTAGCTGTTACAGTGGTCATGTGCGGTGGGTGTTATAGTGCGCTGGGTGTGGAGTCCCTTAACTTTTATGGCCGCTACACTCAATTAGCAATAGATAGGCTATGTCACAACAGCCTGTAAAAAAGTCAACTCTGGGCCACACAAACAAGCTGACATCATGAGTTGAGTAAAACATCATGAAGGTATTGGGACTTGCAATCATCTTAATGATAATAATTAAGTGTAGGCAAGTCAGTTACAGAGATTACCCATGAAGATCCAGATTAGAATTGATCTTCAGTAACCTATGCTCGTCGTAAGAGGTGACTAACGGGATCAGGTGGTCAGGCTCACTGACTTGGTTGACACATGTCATCGGTTCCCATTTGCGTAGATTGATGTTGTTGCTCGCTGCATTGTCTGGTCCAGATTTGATTATTTGCAGACCGCTGCCATGTAGCTGGAGTGCGGCATAAAACTAAATTCACTCACACCATATTGAGATTTGACATCTCATTCTTGGGGATAATCTCAAAACACTCATTCCAGAGTGAGTGAGTTTAGTTTTACGCAGATTTTAGCAATATCACAATGGGGAACACTAGAAATGGAATCACACATAATATCCATGTGGAGAATCAAACCTGGATCTTCTTGTGATGAGCGAAAGCTTTAACCACTAGGCTACCCCCGCCCCATCCCATTCCGGGCCAGGCTGATCACCTCATACAGTAATCTGCATCTAACGACAAGCGGTAGATGTTAGGGACGTGCATTCTTACCAAGATTCGACCCATGAAGATCCGGGTTAGAATTGGTCTTCAGTAACCCATGCTTGTCATAAGAGGCGACTAATGGGATCAGGTGGTCAGGCTCACTGACTTGAATATTTACAGACAGCTGGTATATTGCTGAGTGGGGCTTAGAACTAAACTCACTCACTCATTTACCCAGAATCCCAACTAATGATGCTACTGTTGCATTAGCCTTTCTGTAATACAGGCTTAGAACAAGTCTGAAAATACAGAAATGTCATTGATCTCATCTCAGATATACATACGCCATATGCTTCACTCGGACTTGCCACAGCCTGCTCACTGAGGCCATCAACAAACACCCCTTTCTTGATGTTCTCACGAAGGTGAAGGCCTTCCGCTGAGGGGTCAAGGAGGTCGTACACGCACTCCTGGTAGATCTCGAGGAAGGAACATCGACACAGAAACTGCTTCCTGTCCCCATGCTGCAATTAATCAATATGCTGATGAGTCAGTTGTACACATCGTACACAGGTAGTGATACGCTCATACTCGAAAGCCAAAGTCTAAAATCATGTTCAGTGTGTTAAGTTCAGGTAATAATTGTCTTGATAATAACACTTAATTGAAAGAAGAATGATGTTTGGGCTAGTGTTTTTAGCACGGACTGCTCACTGCATGTCAAAAAAATATTGAAGCAAGTAATCAAAAGCTTTTTTCAGTAGGTGTTTTGCTAATCTTAGACTTGAATTCAGATAGAGTTTAAGAAGCATTTTACAAAGTGTTCCACTGCATCAAAGCAAGTATACTGTTTCCCCAAAGAAGACATCATGGCACTACAGTGATGTTCGCAAGAAGGTAGAACTAGAAGATTTCATTTTCAAGAAGACACATGTCACTGAAGAGAACAAGGAACTGAGAAATACATGGGACATCTTGCTTGACATCGCAGGAAAATGATCACCAGTCAATGAAAAGCTAAACTAGAGACATCTTGCACTAAGACTGACCAGTTCTTGTTCCCGGTTGATGAGACTGAAGAGATACTCGAAGCTTCTCGGGGTGACACCACGCAGTTCATGCTGGAAACTTTCAGAGTCTTCAGACGGCCCTGAAGTTTGGAAATAAACATTGGAAAGCGAGTGTACAGCTATTGAAAACAGGATTTTTTAATATCAATTTCAAGATTATTTTTTTTATGACTTTCTCACCTTCCAACTGAAGCAAGAATGCCTTGGTGTACATTCTATTACTCACTAACTCTATAACTTGGAGTCCTTCAGGTCCTCTGCCATCCTGACATAGTGATGAATACACAATGCCATTTAGAAAGTGGTCAAATGTAACACGTTATATTTGGGATTACACTTTCTTAGTGAAGTACAGATTCTAGTACTTTATATTGGGTTGTGTCCCATCTGGGATTCAGACTCAGACACAGGTCACAAAGTCAGCCGTCTAACCCACCAAGCTATCGCAAAATATTGTGTACTTTACTGAGAAAATGAAATCCCAAATATAATATGTGTTATTCTGCCATAGCACTTGAATCTGGGAATCCTTAAAGCTCTTGACAGGGTTTATACCATTATTCTGAATGTCAACCGCTGGAACATGCATGTTACTGTGTGAAGTATTGATGCCACATCTGTGCTACAGGCCTATAGTCTTCCACCTACCCAGCATCGTGAAGGTCTTGCCACTGCCAGTCTGACCACTGTAGGGATGATAAAATAAGGCTTAGAAATATATGTATTTAAAAGTGATGGAATTCTTAAAATCTTCATGACTAATATTGTAGGCACTCTGACAGGATATGTAACAAATTGTAACACGGTTTCCATTTTCGAACTCCATCAAGGCATTCATGTACTGAAAACACATACCACATTTGGTTTCCCTATCTATAACAGTTTTTGAGAAAATCTGTCCCCATCATCTCGGACAGATGACAGATGGAAGGACAGAGCTCAAACCTATTCCCCCTCCCACCTCGTGGCAGGGGATAATAACAGCAGCCTATTACCCTGACCATCAGCACAGCCATGTACAGGTCAGTTGCGTGTAATTAACCTTACAGTATGGCCGGTTAGCTACAAAAGTTTAACATTGTGGATGAGGTGCTGGAAACTGCAGGCTGACCATACATGTACCGTTATATGATACAGGGCTGCCTGACAGTCAGTAGTATATATACATTGAAGTCGTGTTGCAAGAGGGACTTGACCCTGTGTGCCTGGACGGTGCTGCACTATCATGTAATTGCATATTTAGACGGAGCCTGTCATACTAAGTTGAAATAAGTTTAGAGAGGTTCACCTGGGCCTGTTATTTCACCTCGCGACACTGTTTTATTATGAAAAGACAGATATAATTGTACTATCACCCAAATGAACATGACACGCAGGAACTTGAAGGTTGTTTACAGAGCTCCAGATAAGATTTAGCTCATGTGGGTACTGTACCCAATGTATTTTTTTGGAGTGGGTATTATGGATGTTGAGTGGGTATTTCATTTTCCGTTACCCACTGCTTTCAAATATGTGCGTATTTCAGTCATTTTACTCACCTAAGTATATGTCATTGAGTAAGTTACTAAGCATGTATGTTCTGCCTTATGTCATACCTAATCAAAACCAACTTAAATATAATGGAAATGATTTCATAAAAAATCACTCATCCTATACTGACAGTACAACACTTGTCCTTTACTAACAGTACAACTTGATAGCAATCGATGTCTTTTTCATTACGCAAACGATTTTTATAAATATATTCCGTACGCATTTGTTTTAAACTTGTTGCATATCTAACATTATAAATGGGTAATTGGTAAGCAGCAATTATTTTTTCAATGCGTAATTGAAAATTTTCTATGCATAGTTTACCCGGATACGCAGCTTATCTGGGCCTGTGTGTCTATATCATGAAGTTACTGCATGTTAATTCACACTATGATTCCCAAAATAGCCCTGACAATTAAGAAAACGAAAGACTATCATAAAATATGAACATTCGCTGAATCTGATGATGGATCCAAACCATGATTATTGGCACATTTACATTCCAGACAGCCATCTAAACCTCCAGGTGCCACATGTATGACAGTGAGATTTCACAACTGTCGGGTTGGCAAATGATATGTATGCAAGATGCCATACACACGAAATCAGTCATTCAGTCTCATTAATTTGGATGTGATTTCAGACTAAATACTAACTCACTAAAATATGATTGTAAGGGGTTAGTAATGGGCATAGAAAACAATAACCGATATCCATGACACAAGAAACACGATGTAAATATATATCACTCAGAGATGATAAAAACAAAGTATAGATGTGTGAAAATCATGGTTCACTACCAGACTAGCACAGGTGGCTGAAATCATGCAGGTGCACAGGAAATATTGGTAAAGCATGTCTCTTGGTTGAAATATTAGATCATGACAGATGAAAGTCTACTTCCAAAGCATATTTTCAGACAATTAAAGAAGAACACATTGTAATGAGGGACTTTTTACATACACAGAATCTGCAAAATTTAATTGAGTGAAATATTTAAAAATTGCAAGGGAAGTGATCATTTGTATTCATATAAAATGAGATTAAGACTTGGTTAATTTCAATGCCGTCATGTTTGGTGTTGGAGAAAGTCCAAAATCGGTTGATTAGTTTGGTTCGTGAGGATCATTCCAGAACGAGCTTCATGATCGAAACTGATCAACAGATTGAGAACTTTGTTCAACGAAGTCAACATTGTATACATATGCTATAGATTGTATGTTCTATTGGATCATCATATTTATTGGATGGATCTAACAGACTGTTTTTGTAGAATATCCTACTACCCAAGTCTTTCACAACTATCCGAGGTCTCAAACAGTCGCTAGTGGTTGCCCAACTTCGTTTCATGTAAAATCAGCCATTTCATAATTTCAGCCCTACTAATTTCAGATGTCCAACATCGCAATAAAAGAGAAGAGCTTCTTGTCAAACATATTTCTATCTAAATATTTCAGTTTTCAAAACCCTTTAGCTTTTCCAAACAGCCACATACAATGTCCCCTAATGATGCACTGACAGTGCAACAGTTGAGTATTACTGTATGGATGTGATACTCACTAAGCAAAGATTGTTCCATTGTAGCCATTGAGACAGCCATCTATGATTCCCTTGCCAACGGCGCAGAACACTGCTTCCTGAAATCAGAGTGAGTGAGTTTATTTTTACACAGCTTTCAGCAATTTCAAGCAATATCACAGTAGAGGACACCAGAAATGGGCTTCACCCATTGTACCCACACAACCAAATCCAGGTCTTCGGCGTGATGAGCGAACACATGAACCACTAGGCTACCCCACCGCACCAACTTAAATAAACAATGGACATGTGAAATACAGATATGAAACACCTGTTAGCATATTCATTTATTTTAACAAATGGAGGTGAGGTGAGGTGAAATGGGGTTTAACGTTGTACTTAAAGAATATTTCTCTCATATGACAATGTGCATGCATGTGTATGTGTGGGGGCTTGTACTAGCCCAGACTGAAGCTGGTTTTATACTGCAAGCTCAATGAGATACCATGCCGTAGTGAAGCATGAATATCCCCACTCATACACATTATACTGACTCCCAGCTGACCAGTCCTTGTTGTACCCATTAATACCGTGTGTGAGGCAGGGACCAACAAGTACCACATTTTAACGTCTTTTGGTGTGATGTGGCTGGGGATCGAACCCGCGACCTTCCGCGACCAGGCTAGATAATCGATGATGAAGTAAATAATACAACATACCTGTGTAATGTTGACATCCGCAACTTTGTCAAAGGAGAATACTTTAGCATCAGGCTTGGCACGCACTGTAACAGAATTCCTTTGGTCGTCCACCTCAATGGCCCGTTGTGCCCCCAACTCATTATCTCCCTTGTCTGGGGGACGCACACGTACAAACACCTTTATGGAGTCCCCCTCACTGATGAAACAAAAATAAATATGATGTCCTATCCTGTACATCATAAGGTGACCTGTATGATCATAATTCTGAGCTTGTGTTCTAGGAAAATTATCAGAATGACAATGGTTGGTTTGTTTGGTGCATAACGCCGCACTCAGCAATATTCCAGCTATATGGCGGCAGTCTGTAAATAATCGAGTCTGGATCAGACAATCCAGTGATCAACAGCGTGAGCATCGATCTATGCAACTGGGATACAGTGACATGTGTTAACCAAGTCAGAGAGCCTGAACACCTGATCCTGTTAGTCGCCTCTTACGACAAGCATGGGTAACTGAAGATCAATTCTAACCCGGATCTTCATGGGTCGACAGAATGACAATAGATTGCTGAATATTTTCAGTTCTATGGTTTATCAAATTATGTTGTAAGTAGATGTGGAATACCTGGTACAAGTTATCTTTCCACACTATACGGCTAATGAGTGAGTTTAGTTTTACGCCGCAGTCAGCAATATTCCAGCTATATGACGGCAGTCTGTAAATAAGCGAGTCTGGCCCAGACAATTCAGTGATCAACAGTATGAGCATCGATCTGGGCAATTGGGAACCCTTTTGACATGTGTCAACCAAGTCAGTGAGCCTGACCACCCAATCCCGTTAGTCGCCTCTTACGACAAGCATGGGTTACTGAAGACCAATTCTAACCCGGATCTTCATGGGTCGACAGAATGACAATAGATTGCTGAATATTTTCAGTTCCATGGTTTATCAAATTATGTTGTGAGTAGATGTGGAATACCTAGTACAAGTTATCCTTCCACACTATACGGCCTAATGACTGAACTAGCATATTGATGAATCAATTCAAAAAATGTCCAAACAATTTTGAACTGTAAGTTACAATAAGGTCTACAATGTTTACTAGATGTACAAACCAAACATGCTCACTGTTACCATGGTTACAGTAAATGTCTATAAATAATACCTGGAATCATGGCAGCCTTTATCTGAAAAAATAATAAAAGCATTTATGTCAATACAGTTAGCTGAGTCAGCAATGGACCACAGGGGTGAACTATGGTAGACTATCATCTCACACTCTGCATCATGCATGCTCATATGTCATAGGGCTGATATGATTCATTCATGTATTCAGTGAAACAAACCGTATCCCTTCATGAATTCCATTTGCTGTAGGGTGATTGCAAAAATCAACTGTTCGTGAATTACTTTCAAAAGTTGTGTTTTTTACTTGAGTTTGATCATTATTTATCCAAATGACAAAATGGAACACATCCATGCTCGACAGCATAGTAGCCACTAGCCAACACTATGTGTAATTTGACAGTAATGTGGTTCTCGTGAGAAATTAACACTATCAACATGGTCAAATAAATATTTTGTTATTTCTTCATCAAATATATTTTAATACATCTAACTTGTAATTATATGTATTACCTATTATTTGCATATGTTACCTCATATTCAGTTAGTTGCGGATCTAATACGAGATGCCCAACGCTCTGACAAATCTATGTAGTTTACATAATCTGACTGACATATTACATGTTATGAAACATTTAAACACTGTAAAGTTACAAAGGGTATTACAGAAAAGTCACCGAATGAGGCATCAAAACGTGGCGTATACCAGCTTCACTGTCACATTTGCGTTGACATATAGAATAAGTGATAGAATAATAGGTTTGTTCACATTTTACTCTTATGATTGGAGTTAGATACATATGTTTTCTCAGCACCTTCCAAGTAGGCCTTTCTAAGAAAGTCTTCAGTTTCCCAAAGTACCCCAATCGCACAAAACTCGAACTCTCTAAATCCCCTTTCTTCTTTTTCTATTGCAGGGGTGGAAATAACCCATTGCCCGATGTCAGAGTCCAGTGTTTTTTTCTGTCGGGCAAGTAAATTTGTATATCACACTGTACCGGTGTCCAATAGTAATTATGTTGTTTATTTAAAAAATCAAAAAGAAAACGGCCGGTATAGTGGAAAAATTATCAGGGCAAGTGATTTTACATGTGCCACTGTACTGGAGTACACCAGCCAGAGCTCCAGATAAGATTTAGCTCATGTGGGTACTGTACCCACTGTATTTTTTGGGCAGTGGGTATTATAAATGTTGAGTGGGTATTTCATTGTCCGTTACCCACTGTTTTCAAATATGTGGGTATTTCAGTCATTTTACTCACCTAAGTATATGTCATTGAGTAAGTTTACTAAGCAGGTATGTTCTGCCTTATGTCATACCTAATCAAAACCAAATTAAATAAATAATGGAAATGATTTCATAAAACATCACTCATCCTGTACTGACAGTACATCACTAGTCCTATACCAACAGTACAACTTGATACCAATCGATGTTTTTTTCATGACGCAAGTGATTTTTATAAATATATTCTGCACGCATATGTTTTAAACTTTTTTTGTATCTAACATTTTAAATGTGTAATTGGAAATTGGAAATTTTCTATACGTATTTTACCCAAATACGCAGCTTCTCTGGGCCTCTGCTAGCAATTTAAAAGTTATTTCTACCCCTGTATTGTCTTACTAGTGACACCAACTAGTGCAATGAAAACATTGAATTAAGGCCGACATTCATAATACATGTATTGCAAAAAATGGACTGATCAGTGATCACTGCTTATCCCAAATTTCAATATATTTTGAAAAGGATGGTCAGTTAATGGGACTTTTAAAATCAGGATTGAATGATGTGAGCATTTTAGCAACACTGTAGGTGGGATCGTTTATTGAAAGTTTCAACACCAAAAGTATATAAATTCTCGGAAATGCTGTAAAACTAGAAAAATATGTGAAAGTCAACAGTTAAAAATGGATAAAAAATCCAAATATGCCAAATATGGATGTCAGCCCGATCTGTCGACAAATGAAAAATAGGATGTTGCAAGAAAAAAACCCTGGAGTGTCGACATCGCGTGGTCAACATACCGTGACGGTGTTAATGATTAATGAAAGAGAATGTTTGCTCAGTGATTTGCAAGTGGTTATGGTGGCTATGCTCGTTTCATGAGTAAATGAATTAAGTTAATTAAAGAGAATGTCTTTTTAACAATTTGTAAGAGAATTAAGGTTGCAAACAGACTATTATTTTACGTTATGTGAGTGGAAGGATTACCATTTTGGAGTTTAACATGCAAAAAAAAATACCGGAAAGAAACAGATAGCTTACAAAATATGTGTCATGTGTCAGAGTTGCTTCATCTTGGCTGAACATTACAGATTACTTTAGTGCAGATATAAAGGAGTTTTGGCAAGAAGAAATATCTGGACTCATCTTTTAAATATTTATTGCTTATACACCTGCAGAAATCACTTATTTCTATAACACACACACACACATATTGTGTTATATTGTGTGACATATACATACATGTTGTAATACTGAGTAAATAAATGTATTGTCTTCTATAGATATCGCACTCTGTTTTTAATTGGTTTGTTAATTTCGAGAACACTGGGCGTGAAGTCACTCATGTAGGACATCATCTCCCTTTCCCCGGACTGCCGACAAGTAATTTCGACGGATTATTTGTTGTTGTCAACAGTCCGGGTATAAACCCCAAATATGCATGTTATCTAAAACACCATGATCCCTGTAAGTCACATGCTGAGATGATTAAATTATGGGCAAATATGACATTTTTCATGTGGCTGTTACCCATGTTTGAAATTAAACTGGAACTTGGTGCTCAATATCTCGATCAGACACCTAAGATTTTTCATACTCTATTTCAGTTCCAGAGGCCAGTAGTTTCATTGCAGATGTTGAAAATGCAAATCTTACTGACTGGTGGACGACAGTTAAGGTGCCACAACAAAAGCTAGCAGGCAGAAAAAATTTAATACCAGTGCTAACTTTGGTGGGCTAGAAATAGGAAAACAAATATTATTACTTTCTAGTGTTGGGAATTGGTTAAAATCCGATAATTGATGATTGGTTCATTACAACCGATCAATCATCAAAAATAATTGGTTAGAGATTTTCCTGTTATGTTTGTTAATGCACACAAAACAAATAAAGAAAAAAAAATATGTAGTTCTTTTGGGGGGTTTGCAAATTGCACAAAACGCATTTCCAAATTTCACAATCATAAAGGATGACTAGTATGCTGGGAACAAAGTTTCCTGGAGTCTTTAAGATAAATTTGATCATGACTTGGAACAAGCGCGTTGTGCTTATGAAATGTAAATTTAATGACAGACAAAACCAACCAAGTAAAAAATATTGTTAATGCAAACAAGTGTTCCAAAATTGTTTCTGATTGATTAAGAAAATATTATCAATTGCTTGGTCGTTTAGTCACTGCGACCAATCTTCGATTATTTCAGTTAATTGGACCACCACTGTTACTGTCCTCTGCCTAATATCAAATATAGGTTTTCTAATGTGAAAGGGGACATATATGATCATGGGGCAGATGGTTCCAGTGAGTTCCCCATATTGTTTCTGTTATATTATTGAAACATTTCTAATATATTTCTTATTTTTCACTAATCCCAACTGAAATGTCCTATCCTAGATAATGCAGACACATAGATAAAACACAAACAACCTGGAAAATACTTCAAATGATTATATGTACCATATGCATAGCAATACAGCCATTAGAAAACTGGAATGAAATGTTTGATAATCTACAAAGCATGATATGGACCTTTTCTTGAAAAAAATTGACAGTGGGTGTGAAAGCTGTCTTGTTGGGTGCCAGTCAAATCGCCCCAGCTACAAAACGCCCCAGCCAATTTGGTCAAAATGCCCCAGATTTTTGGTCAAATCGCCCCAGGTTTGGTCAAATTGCCCAAGGGGGGTAGTCAAAATGCCCCAATGTATTTAAATTGGTTAAATATATGCCACAAATGCATAGTTTTTGTCAACTTCCATATTATATTCTATATATAATATTATATAGTGATATTTCTGATAAATTTTCGATTAGTAAACTGATAAGACCAAAAGTAATATTCATGTACATAAACAACACTATAATACCAATTATTTAAGTAAAAGAATTACAAGAGTAAAATGAAAGGTTTGTATAATATGTTTATTAGCTGTAAATAGTTTTTGGTCAACAAATGGCATTATGTAATCATAACAAGTATGGTATAATATTTATTATTTAAACATATTTATTTCCAAAGAAAGGAACCAGATTGGTAAACAAGCATAAGCTTATATGAATACCGCTCTGGGATACAATGGAAGGAAGAATAAACTCGTCATGATGAATGTACAATGTGAATGATATATAAATGTTGCAAAAGCGAGAAATAACGCCTATCGTTGTTAAGCGGTATATGTCATATAAACAAAATATTTTGGATCAAATCTGCCTGTTAAATTTATAAAAGAGTGCACTGATATTAAAAAGTTCTTTGTGTACTATTGAGGAGCAGCGTTGGTTTCCAAACAAAATTGATTTTAGGTCAAATCCTTTAGTATAAAAATACATAATTTGGCGATATATCCTTGTAAAGAGTACATGAAAAGAACTAGTGAGCAGAGTCTTCATAGTTATGGCCACAAGAGCAAGATGATGTCGGAGATATAAATCTTTCATACTTGTGCGCATTAAGGTCACTACATTCAAGTTGGAGACGAGAATGTATGATTAGACAAAATCTGCTACGAAATTTAAGTCAAAATGACTGTAGATATTAGAATCGTTCAAAATTACATTTTTGAATCTCGATAGGTGATGGTCAATTAGTGAATATGTTTTTATAGCCTGAAATGTTCATACATTCGAGCCTCAACATTTCCTTTAACTAAACACAGCATTGAATGTCAATTAGTGAACATGTTTTAATAGCCTGTTTTTATCCACACTTTTTGACAAGATTAATTAACAAAAGCTCTAGATTGTTTTGATAAGCATTATACCATACTTGTTGAGAAAATCTATGCATTTACGGCCTCACCTTTTGACAAGATTAATTAATAATAACAAAGCTCTAGATTGTTTTGATAAGTATTATACCATACTTGCTGACAAAAACTATGCATTTATGGCCAATAAACATTTTATACAAACATTTCATTTTATTCTTGTAATTCTTTACAAAAGCATTAATAACATGCAAATAATTGGTATTATAGTGTTGTTTATACATGAATATTACTTTTGCTCTTATCAGTTTATACTAATAGAAAATCTATCAGAAATATTACTATATAATATTATACGAAGTATATAATATGGAAGTATATAATATGGCAGTTGACAAAAACTATGGCATATATTTAATCATTTTAAATACACTGGGGCATTTTGACTACCCCCCTGGGGCAATTTGACCAAACCTGGGGCGATTTGACCAAAAATCTGGGGCATTTTGACCAAATTGGCTGGGGCGTTTTGTAGCTGGGGCGATTTGACTGGCACCCGTCTTGTTTATATCACCTTTAAATAGTTAAATCAAATGGCAAAGAGGAAACTGGATGAATTAATTGACAACTTACAACTGTATGATATGCACACACACACAGTACATGTTTTCTGTGGTAATGACAGAACAGAACAGAATTTTTCTATGTTAGGCTAACACTGTCAAGCTAACTACTAAGTTTAATGGTTACCATCAACTTCAGCAATAACATCAACTAATTCAACGTTGAGATATGTAGAAGATGTCATATTAGCATTGAAACTGATGAATATATTGGCAAGAATACACAACACCGTGGCAGTATCGGCAAGCTGAGTGAATTATGTTTACGGCTAACGAGCACTATTATTAGTATTCTATCAACACGACACGACGAATATTATTTTGGTTTGTAAACAGAGTGAAATTTTTGCTTGTTTTAACATGGAAACAGTCCGTCCGGGTACGATGACACACAATCAGCAAGAAAATGCACAGTGTGACAGCAAAATGATGATTCCAGCCCCACCCTACAGCAAGTGACTTATGTTCGGACCTAAAAAACGTCCCGGGGGCGTCAGAGCAACAGACCAGACGGCCGGGGGTCACTGAACGACGGACCGATAGTGACAGTGCTGCTGTCACCTGACATGGTGTTTCCAATTCGTAAATCTAAATTGTTGAGATGTGTTAAATGGGGAATAGAAGTAGTCTGTAATGATGAACAAACCTGACATATTGAAGTGTCAAAAGAGTCAACTTTCAACTAAGTATTTTTACTGTGATATCAAATGGCGGACTTTTCGAATTTAGCGCCCTCTGCGAGATCTCGCGAGACTTTCTTTTTGAAACCTATTTTCCTAGATCTTATGAATGTTTCTTGCATATGAAGCCAATACGTATTTACCATACGGTTGAATTGTACATGTAAATATATAATAAAATTATAGAATTATTTAAAGTGAAGAATTATAAATTATTTAGTTCTGGTTTATCAACTATTATAATGAATGTTTAAGATTATTAATGGTACAATAAACAGTGGCTAGGTAAATAGTAGCAAAAACGAGCATTGTGAATGGCGGTCTGTATCTATAAATAGCAACCAGAACAGTGGAAATCCCCTAATTTGCATATAAGGAAAGGTATTCACATATATCGGAATAAAGGTTAATTAACGGTGACAATTAAGCTACTACACACATCCCTATTCCTAATACCTTATTAGAAGATAAGTTTTGCAGCAGACTTATTATCATTATTATTGGGAGAAAAATACCAAAAGGTTGCGTTGATTGTGAATCTCCAGCCAGCGAATGACGTGTGACATGTATGTCTATTTATAGACATAAACAAAGAGGATCGCCGTATTCCACAGACGTACGTTTAGCATCAGCTGACTGGATGTCGGCACATAAATGCGATGTGGCTTTGTCCGTGCGTTACAAGAGTCGGCCACAATACATCAGTACAGACATTCTCAGTTGAGGCAAACCTTCCTCGCTCGGCTGGTGGACCATCAACGATGAAAATCGAGAACAGTATTTTTAAGGCGGCGACTAAGATATGGAACTACATGCTAATGAATCATGAAATACGCAAGGTGAGTGCCTGCCTCCAATTGTAGTATACAGGTTTCACATTTTTGCCAAAATGTCAAATTGAAATGGATAATAATGATTATAAAATGATTCATGGAAGAAATTAGTATTCTAAAAGAGTTTCCCCCGAACTTATATGCAAAAGATTAAAGGTATGAAACGCTGGCATATAATATTATTACGAAGTATTATTATAAAAGTATGATGTTTATATTATATATGTTAATAGTGTATTTCAACTCCTTGAGTCCACATAATTCCGAAATTAAGACAAATGATGACGGCATCATGTGCGGGTTTGACGCCATTACGCCCACGTTTGTCGACAACCACCGACAGCGGCGATGCAAGATACTGCCTCACATTTACTTACAGTGATGAGTTGTAATCAACCTGTTATTAACTTCATATACCGCGCATTTCCGTCTCTGAACCACTCAAGCGTTTGGCTTCTCTAATTAAATGAGTATTATTATCTATATTTTCAAATATGTATGAGCACAAATATATACTAGTTATTTAGCTCATGAACTAGTAGGGTATGAAACTCCTATAGCTGTCAGCCAGACCAGATGTAAAACTTGTCAGCCCTGTCCAAAACGTACCTGCCCACAAAATATTTTCATATACATGTCTAAATATTAACCCGACCGTCGGGCACTTGAATTTGAGAATCTGGCAGTCCGTGTTCAAAATAACCCGTCCCGGACGGCCAGCAGGCAGGCAGGTATATTGAACGCAGGAGTTAGACTGCAAATCACAAATATATGCCTCTCCAGAACATGTGTCTGGCATAAATAATATTTCTGAAAGCAAAAGTGTCTGAAAAATGACATTACCCTCGGGAATAGGTCGCTGCCCGAGGATAATGTCCTTTATCAGCCAGATAAATGTATACAATTTCAGTAGATTTTAGGGACGAGTGGGATTGGATGAGGGTGAGGGGAGGAGTTGCTAATTAACACACCTGTATTTAATCATTCAGCAACGTTTTTCTTTGAAAGGCTGTTATTGTGATTCGTATCTCGTTTTGGTCAGTACAGTCTGCACGTGGTGGTTATTTTCGTCATGCATACATCTTGTACAACCGTCACCATGGTAACTCTGTTTTTGGCCATTAACACTTTAGATTTTAATTATTACCATTAAATTCGAATAAAGAGCGGTATGTATATGTTATCGACAAATCTGTGAAACTGGACAAAGGAAAAACCAACTGATTGATCAATAGAGCTCATGTGACAATCACGAGCTTTACACTTTATTGAACTGCCTGTCACGTGGTGTTGCTTCCGTTTACAGAGTGACGTCATCCTTGCACTGGGGAACAATGATGTACGTACGGCACAGCATGCTGCGCACTTGTTCAAAGAGGGGCTCGCAGACTGGCTCATGTTCTCTGGCAAGGATGGAACATTGACGACAGGTGAAAATAAACATATTCAGCAAAGTGTCTGGATGTGAATAGCAGGAGTTATTCCCCTTTGGGTAACGTTGACAGTCCCGGATTCGCCAAAATTAATATGTATATTCACCCAACATACACTGCCGTGCAAGGGGAGATGGTGTAGTCTAGTGGTTAAAGCGATCGCTCGTCATGCCGAAGACATGGGTTCGATTCCCCACATGGGATAATCAGTCTTTATTCATTACTAAAAAGGGCCATATGCCTGTAGTACATTTAAAGTTTACATGAGGAGATAGAAGTCATTTATCAATTCTTTTCTGTAACAATCCTTTTTCTTAAACTCATAGCGAAATAGATGTACATTGCCAGATTCTGCAATAGTGATGTGGTAGTATCTGTTAATAGCGAAACTAATTTTCTTATACTTGGATGCTTATAATAGTATACCTTTAGGTAGTTCGTTCGTAGAGTCGTATTAACAGGACAGATTAGAAGAAAATGTAGATAACATGGTGTTATCTCCCTTTAGTAGTCAAGTCGCTCTCACTTTGTTCGTCAGAAAAAATATAATTATCCCACATGGGTACAGTGTGTGAAGCCCATTTCTGGTGTCCCCCGATGTGATGTTGCTGGAATACTGCCGGGCAAAATATTATCTACTCTTGACAACTGCAAATCAAAACGTCACATTGTTGATAACAGTCGCTGAACCACTTAAACGGTCCAAATGCTTGATAATGTTGATTCCCTGGTGTACTGAAATTGTCTCTCCGGCGATGGCTGTCATGTTTTGGGATGTCCACGTCCTATTCGGAGAATGAAAATAACAATCGCAATTCTCTTTGTATACATTTGTAAATGAATTTGAACGTTATTCATAAAATCTGGTCAGTTGCTGTTGAAGAGTGAGTATGATTTTACGCTTTTAGCAAGATTCCAGCAATATCATGGCCAGAAGTGGGCTTCACACATCGTGGTCCTCGCAGAGGGAATTGAACAAAAAGGGTGTTTGATTCTTGGGTAGAGTGAGGTCTATATTTCGTAAGAATAACTTAAACATAGATTTTTAAAACTAAAAACAGTTCCCGTAAAGATCCGGATTAGAATTGGTCTTCAGCAATCCATGCTTGTCGTAAGAGGCGACTAACGTCATCGCATCTCATCGCATCTCAACTGCGTATATATAATGAGGGAAACAAATAAGGGATCACATGAAAGCACAAGTGTTCCTATATTTAATTTGTTTCCAGCTTTCTTCACAAGCTATGCGATACAACGCTGGTAAAGAAACCTGGAAAAAAAATGAAGTAACACTTGTGCTTTCATGTGGTCCCTTATTTTTTACCTAAGTATTATATACATGTTAATGATGTGGATCACTGGATTGTCTGGTCCAGTCTTGATTATGGATAAAAGGTATTGAATAAACCGATGGGTCTTAATGAGAAGATAGGATAACATTTATGTCATGGTACTTTGTTTCCTACCTCTCAAATCTGGTCTAATGTTTTAAGGGAAATGGGATCGACCGGAAGCAGAAGTGTTCCGCGACGTGGCCCTGAGTGCGGGGGTCCCAGACAACAAGATCATCCTGGAGACGGAAGCCACAAACACAGGCGAGAATGTCGTGTTTTCTCACACAGTCCTGGAATCTCTCAACATCAAGCCCAAGAAAATCATTCTAGTGTCAACTCCTTATATGGAACGTAGGGCGTATGCCACTTTCATGAAACAGTTTCAAGGGGCAACGTCAATGGACGTGGTGGTGACGTCACCGGAAGTAACGCTCCAGGCATATCCAAACAAGGAGGTCGGGTCTCTGAATGAAATCATCAGTGTGATGATGGGATGCATGCAGAGGTGCAGGGTGTACCCAGAAAAGGGCTTCCAGATCCCCCAGGACATTCCGAATGATGTGTGGGAGGCCTACGAGTCCCTGAGAGACCTTGGATGTTTTAACAGCAATCTCATCTGACGTACGCCCCCATGACCTTCACCGATATTCGACGCCATATATGACCGTTATTTCGAAGTCGATTTATATACTTGTACTGACACACTCATGTCTGTTAGCGACGGGCCTTGGAGTCGCCTCTGACAAGCGGTAAAGTTTCTTTGGCTACGTGTATATAGCCATGTGTGATGACCGCACGCTGTGCTCCCCACTTCATTCTCTCACTTGACGTGATGTTGCTGCAACATTACAATATACACTTGGTTATAAGATTCACGTCTATATTCTATTGTCACAAAACCAGCAAAGAAGTACCACAGATGGTAAGGCATTACATGGACCGTCCACTACCAGCGCACTACTTGGATGTAAAGTAATTCTTAAGGGTTTAACGAGTAGTTTCAATACGTTTGGACACATAATTTTGGTTTTCAGAAAATGTTCTTGAACATCGAGATGACTGTACAATAACAGTTTATATAGAACATTGTTCAGGGGACGAAACACGAACGCTCTCTTCATACATGTCTTGTTTGTCTCATTTACTGATATCTAGTTTAGTCATTAGAACCCACTTGCACAAAGCGACTATCTTAAGCCTATGTTGGAGAATGGGAGTTACAATCATTGTATAGGAAATGCCAGATGTTTACGGAAGTGACGTCAAGAGGCTAGGTTGCGCGCGCACCGGTAGGCAGAAGGCAACAATGGCCTAGGCCAAATGTTAGAAAAGTTCCTATCTTTTAGGATCTCTCAGCAGCAGTAAAAGCGTTATCCAGTAATTGGTATGACAACTCCCACCCTCCAGAGATTCTTGTCAATGTGGAAATAGACACAGAATGTATCAGGCTACTAAACCAATCAAGGTTTACCCCACTATTGAAACAGTGTCCACATGTTCATAGACCAACTGCATGAGTATTAACCGCATGGTGTAATGGACGGTGACAAGCACTGATGTTCAACATGATCAGGATATGCAGTATGGGAGATAAGGCCTGGTGTATCATATTACCTGATAATGATGTTATCTCTACATTTGGCCTAGGAGTATGTAGCGCTAAGATCGCTTTGTGCAAGTGGGTCCAGGTCATTACCGAGTCTTACAACGATTGCTGGCAGTACGCAGAGCTTCACGCTGGTGCGCTCGGCTGGTCGCTAATGATGTTACTGGGCCATGTCAATTTGTGAACAGGATCCATTTCTGCTCCTCTGCTCAGGGATAAGTATTAAATAAAGCATTGCCATTACTTCAGAGGGTGCATCTATGACCTGCGGATCCTGCCCCTGTAGGTTGATATTCAAAACGTCTCAATCCAGGACAAAAACGAAATATGATTGAGAAACTTCACTTGAATTTATAAACGAAACGAACAACTATATACATATTTATATATATATATTTATCTGGATTACGGGGAAAACCGGTTTACAAAGAGTCTGGATTTGACAGATTCCACTGTCTCTATATGGGCGGAACGTAGATTGTTTAATAAGCCGTATATTACGTTGAATGCACCCGGTCTTTATTGTATAGGACCGCCTCCGTGGTGTAGTGGTTAGAGCGTCCGCCCGGAGAGCGGAAGGTCGCGGGTTTGATCCCCGACCGCGTCATACCAAAAGACGTTAAAATATGGTACTTGTTGGTCCCTGCCTGGCGTACAACAAGGACTGGTCGGCTCGGAGTCAGTATAATGTGGTATCTCAGTGGGCTAGCACTATAAAACCAGCTTCAGTCTGGGCTAGTACAAGCAGCCGCACATACACATACACACGCATGCACGTCGTCATATGAGCGAAATATTCTCAAGCACGACGTAAAGCCCAATTTCACCTCACCTCACCTTTATTGTATAGTTATGTATGATGAGCTATTTATTCGTGACTGTGATGTAAATCTGTTATACATATTTGCTGTTCGTGACTGAAATGCTGGTGTGTATTGCTGTGGTGTAAAAACTAGGTTATGTGATGAGTAGTTACACGTTGACTCTTGGTGGAGAGTAGTTTAGGTCTTGGCGGGTTCCTTGGCAACCCCACACTGAAACATTAAGAGACGGTTTTAAGAATTGATAATGTATAACTATGTATAATTTTGTTTGTTCTGTCTTGTGGCTGTTTAACGCTGCACTCGACAGTATTCAAATACTCGGCAATGTTCTAGTACGCCGGTGTTCCGGTACTCGCCAGTATTCCTGTACTCCAGTATTCCAGTACTCGACAGTATTCCAGTATTTCAGTACCACCAGTATTCCTGTACTCCAGTATTCCAGCACTCGCCAGTATTCCAGTGCTCGGCAGTATTCCTGTACTCCAGTATTCCAGCACTCGCCAGTATTCCTGTACTCCAGTATTCCAGCACTCGCCAGTATTCCAGTATTTCAGTACCGCCAGTATTCCTGTACTCCAGTATTCCAGCACTCGCCAGTATTCCAGTGCTCGGCAGTATTCCAGTGCTCAGCAGTATTCCGGTACTCAGCAGTATTCAAGTACTCAGCAGTATTCAAGTATTCCAGCACTCGCCAGTATTCCAGTACTTGCCAGCATTCCAGTACTGGCCAGTATTCCAGCACTCGCCAGTATTCCAGCATTGCAGTACTCGCCAGTATTCCAGTACTTGCCAGTATTCCAGTACTCGCCAGTATTCCAGCACTCGCCAGTATTCCAGTATTCCAGCACTCGCCAGTATTCCAGTATTCCAGCACTCGCCAGTATTCCAGTATTTCAGTACTCGCCAGTATTCCAGTATTCCAGCACTCGCCAGTATTTCAGTACTCGCCAGTATTCCAGTATTTCAGTACTCGCCAGTATTCCAGCACTCGCCAGTATTTCAGTACTCGCCAGTATTCCAATATTTCAGTACCACCAGTATTCCTGTACTCCAGTATTCCAGCACTCGCCAGTATTCCAGTGCTCGGCAGTATTCCTGTACTCCAGTATTCCAGCACTCGCCAGTATTCCTGTACTCCAGTATTCCAGCACTCGCCAGTATTCCAGTATTTCAGTACCGCCAGTATTCCTGTACTCCAGTATTCCAGCACTCGCCAGTATTCCAGTGCTCGGCAGTATTCCAGTGCTCAGCAGTATTCCGGTACTCAGCAGTATTCAAGTACTCAGCAGTATTCAAGTATTCCAGCACTCGCCAGTATTCCAGTACTTGCCAGCATTCCAGTACTGGCCAGTATTCCAGCACTCGCCAGTATTCCAGCATTGCAGTACTCGCCAGTATTCCAGTACTTGCCAGTATTCCAGTACTCGCCAGTATTCCAGCACTCGCCAGTATTCCAGTATTCCAGCACTCGCCAGTATTCCAGTATTCCAGCACTCGCCAGTATTCCAGTATTTCAGTACTCGCCAGTATTCCAGTATTCCAGCACTCGCCAGTATTTCAGTACTCGCCAGTATTCCAGTATTTCAGTACTCGCCAGTATTCCAGCACTCGCCAGTATTTCAGTACTCGCCAGTATTCCAATATTTCAGTACCACCAGTATTCCTGTACTCCAGTATTCCAGCACTCGCCAGTATTCCAGTGCTCGGCAGTATTCCTGTACTCCAGTATTCCAGCACTCGCCAGTATTCCTGTATTCCAGTATTCCCAGCACTCGCCAGTATTCCAGTGCTCGGCGGTATTCAGTACTCGCCAGTATTCCTGGTGTTCATTCCTCAGCTCGCAGCAGTATTCCAGCACTCGACCAGTATTTCAGTTCAGCCGGGTATTTCCGGTATCGCCGGTATTCAGCGCGCGCCAGTGTTTCGGTACTCTCCGGTGTTCCGCAGTATTCCAGCGCTCGCCAGTATTCCGGTACTATTCAGTATTCCTGTGCTCAGTGTTCAGTATTCCGGTACTCTTCAGCGCTCGCCGGTATTCCGCGTAATGTTCCTGTACTCCAGTATTCCAGCTCAGTATTCCAGTGTATTCAAGCGGTATTCCGGTGCTCAGCATTCAAAGTCTCAGCCAGTATTCCAGTGCCGGTTGCCAGCATTCCAGTACTGGCCAGTATTCAGCACTCGCCAGTATTCCAGCATTGCAGGTACTCGCCAGTATTCCAGTGCTTGCCAGTATTCCAGTACTCGCCAGTATTCCAGCACTCGCCAGTATTCCAGTATTCCAGCACTCGCCAGTATTCCAGTATTCCAGCACTCGCCAGTATTCCAGTATTTCAGTACTCGCCAGTATTCCAGTATTCCAGCACTCGCCAGTATTTCAGTACTCGCCAGTATTCCAGTATTTCAGTACTCGCCAGTATTCCAGCACTCGCCAGTATTTCAGTACTCGCCAGTATTCCAATATTTCAGTACTCGCCAGTATTCCAGTATTTCAGTACTTGCCAGTATTCCAGTATTTCAGTACTCGCCAGTATTCCAATATTTCAGTACTCGCCAGTAATCCAGTATTTCAGTACTTGCCAGTATTCCAGTATTTCAGTACTCGCCAGTATTCCAATATTTCAGTACTCGCCAGTAATCCAGTATTTCAGTACTCGCCAGTATTCCAGTACTCACCAGTATTCCAGTGCTCGGCAGTATTCATGTATTCCAGCACTCCTGCATAATGCTGACTGAACACTGTTGGGAGTTCCGAGAAATAAACTGATTGGTATATTCAAACCACATGACGTCCATTGTTGCTTGATCCTGTTTAGATAAAATTACGGCGGTGGGGTAGCCTAGTGGTTAAAGCGTTGGCTCGTCACGCCGAACATCCGGGTTCGAATCCCCACATGGGTACAATGTGTGAAGCCCATTTCTTGTGTCCCCTGCCGTGATGTTGCTGGAATATTGCTAAAAAGCAGCGTAAAACCAAACTCGGGTAGTCAGCAGTCAGATAAAATTACATGATGACAACTACTCACGAATGAAATGTTGACGGTTTACTATATTTGTTTGTTGTTTTATGCAGATGTCAGCAACATAGAAGCTATGTGATGACGACATTGGAAGGCATGCTTTACCATCAATATACGAGGCAAGCAACCACGTGACCGACCCTGCCCACTCGATCCAGCAAGTTGCCTTGTACTGTTACCGTAGTTACCCAAAGGTTACCCCCCATCTACCCTCCTCAGTCAAAATACTACATGATCCAGCGTGACATCTTGACTGATAACCAAAATGTGATCCCTCGAGATACAGAGGACGTCAGTAGTATAGACGATGGGGGTTCTGACCCTCTTCAAGGTTTAGGTTTTGGTGAAGATACCACCTCTATAACCCCCATCGTGCAGATGGTGTTCACAGATGACATTCATTGATGTGGTGCACATATAAAGTAGGGGTTCTGAGCCAATCCGCACAACTTTATAATCTGATGAAGGCACATGAAGCAGCAGGGTGAACCCTTGCAGCTGCTGCATATGGATCAGTACTGAATCAGATGGTATGGTGAAGCAGTATTGTCACATGATGAAGCAGTATTGTCACATGATGAAGCAATGAACATCAGAAGTACTTCAAACAAGAACTCCCTTTCTATCTAATTCCAACAGCAGTTAACATTATCGAAGTTTCTGGTTAAACATATT